TTTTGAATTGAGTTTTATCATTTTTTTTAACGTGAAATGAAATTACTTTTCTAACTGGCTACAAGATTATTAAAAACAGAACAACTGTTTCACAACCAATTTGCACTGCTTTGTTTGTTGACCTTTGCACAGTCCAGTGCAAGAGTTTTGTTAATAGTTCGTCTGAACTACACTACTATGGGATCTTCACAGGGCAGTGTTTAGTTGAAATTGAATTGTTCACTCTTACACTACCACGGTCGTTGTCTATGCACGCTATCGCCACTATGGTTGACTGTTGCACAATGCAATGTTTTAGTTATACTTCACGCTCACACTACCATGATTGTTTGTTGCACATTCACTGTGCAAGACAAACTTGCTAGTTACTCTGCACGCTAACGCCACTATGGTTGGCTGGTTTGGTCCAAGGAATTTAGAAAGCAGATCTGAACTGGTTGAACCTCCTTCTCTAGAGTCTAGACTGCGAGTTGTCTTGTGGTCATCTCGTCCCTACCTTGCTATAGCTGCGTCACCTGTTACGTATAATCTCTTGAATGGGGTCGCTGTTGTCATGTTAATCTATTTTGTTGTAACTAACCTATACCAGTGATAACAAGTGGAACTCCTGAAATATTGTATCGCTTCAAGGCCGCACGGGCGTATTAAATAGTTTAGTCATAATGTTTCCGAGTGTATATTTTGTTTCAAACTACAGTTCTTTTTTTATATTAACTAAGGACTTCATATCCCATCACAGTTTTGTTAACACACGACATACTTTTATCATAGGTAAAATATAAGCACTGTTACTTCGCATCAAAAAATAAAGAGCAGATTACTATTTAAGTTTAAGATATGATAAGTTTCCTATTTCTTCTGGTAAAAACTTAAATGGCGAATTTCTCTAAAGCTTGACCTTGTCGAAAAATTTCAAGTAGAAACTTTGGGACTGCATCCGGCCATGGCAAACACTAAAATTAAAATGGTTTAATTAGGCCTAGTATGATTGCAGCAGTATTTACTTAGTATAAACGAAATATATGACAGCCCTAATTTCAGAACAAGTTTGAAACCTTAAGACCTATTACAACTCCAGAATGAAGAGGACAATGTCCTTCAACAGTCGCAGTGGGCTCATCACCCGCTGAAAATCACTAACGAAGAAACAGTTGCAACTGCTTGACATCCTTCTGTTAATTACAAATCTGACAAAACTCTCGAGACTCAACCGTTTGCATTTGACAACGCATCTCCATATCTACCTCCGTCCCTCTCCTGATATGAAAATACTTCAGCCATATTTCTCGTGAATTTCCCAACATTCGCACGCAAGAGAATCACCTGTGTCTTGACTCCGGATGTGAACTAACGAAGAGGGAAAGTAGCGCTTCCGTTTCAGCTGTAACATGTACTTCAGAGTCTAATAAGCTGCGTTGACGGTCTTTGCGCATTGCATGTTTATACTATATGCAGTATATTGCATTGTGTCGTCATTGTTTATAATGAATGTGATTTTCATGAGAGATAATTAGTTCAGCTTCAGCTGTCTGGAAGTGGGACAGCTCTTACTTCGCTTTGAAAGTTAATGACTTGGATTGCGACTGTTTTGACTAATCATTTTGTTGCGTTAATTTATATTCATGTTTATTGGAGAGTTTGGCTGCTCTGGTGGTAAGGACAGGCAACATATGTCCTGGTCTCCTGGAGCCTAGAGATTAAATCTCCCCAATCACCTAAGGTTACTCGCTATGATGATGCTCAATCTTAAAAGAATAAAACGTAAGCCGTTCTGACAAAACGTGACCCCTAATCTAAGTTTGCCTCCGAAAGACAGTAGTAGCCATTGATTGTGTTGGTGAAGGTTTGAGTGAGTATTATCGGGAGCTCAAATCCACATCGTCCATTTTGTTCTGCCTGTTAATATCGGTGTTATTGCCACATAGGCGGTCCTTGCAGATATAAACGCCGCCGTAACTCTTCTCCTAACTGCCCAGCGGCTGGTAACGGAGAAGGCTGTGCTTCTCGTTTTTGTTGTCATATCAAGTTGGTGTAGAGTGATGCAAAATTATGAGAGTTGAAGAATTCATTACTCACTACAAGCCTTAAACTCAAAGCCCAATGATCAAAGTAGCCGAATCTTTTAAAAAGCCTCTGACTTTTCTCAAGATCAAATAAACGACTACCACCATCTGACTCCACCTGACAGCACCATATCCAATCTACAGCAGCCCAATGTACTTTGATGAGTATATAGAAATGCCTGAATTTCTCTCAGATAGTTTTCGGTAAAGATGTCAGTTGTCGCAAATTTGTTGTTTGTTACCGAGAGTACTTTGCTGGTTGTAAACTTCTTTCGTCCAATGTTATCTCTCGTAACTATAGGCTGGTCCATGGCACCTGCTACGCACTGAAGCCGAAGGTTGGAGGTTCGATCTTCTCAGACCGGTTTGCCGTTGCTGTCGTGCGACCCCGACATAACCTCACTTTCACACAGTCAGCTGTTTCTCCACATTGTTGTGACATCATCAACAACGTGTGATTCCTAGTTTACTCCGCCATGGTCCTTCGAAGAGACCAATGGACCGATTTAATACCCTTTTAACTACCTACTATATTACAACAACTAGACTTATACTCGCTGAAAATAATCGCCGAAATATTTCAGTTTTTTTTTTTGTTATATTATTTGGTGCTTTCCACATTTTTTCAGTTACTTTTAAGTCAGGATACTCAATATATTTAGGCCAATTTTATCACGTTGTGCTTTTCGTCTTTCAATCGTTTCAATCATTGCTGTCTAATGCAACCTAATTAATTGTCACAACCTATTTGAGGTAAAAACTCGATTCGTTTTACTGCAAGTGGACCCGACAAAATAATCTTTTACTCAAATTACCTAAAGTGCAATAACGTGTTAGTGTCTGCATAGCAAGCAGAGGTAAAATTAGTGCAATTTCAAGCACATAGTTTGATTCATTGTTTGAAAAATGAGATGAACAGAATGTTTTTAATCTTATAGGCCTTCAATACCTTATACAAATCATCTTCTGTTCCAAAATACTGTATGATTATAGATTCATTTTAATATTTATGTGTGATAAGATATTGTAAATCAATGCTGAGCAAGCTCCATTGCAAGGCAAATCAGTGAAAGTGGTTTCGGCAGAGAGCCAGAAGAGGCCGTTTGTTGTGGTCAGGGATTGGTGAATGTGAACATTTACCTCTATCTGCTTTGGATCACTTGGATCTCAATTCTTACCTCACTACCGAAAATAGTAAATAAGGCATGGTAGATGACTGAAAGATAATTGTTGAATAGATTAGCTATATCTTATTCACATTAACTATCATTTAGATGTAGCTATAACACATAATATAATCATCCAGTCCTCTAGTTTTGTATTCAATTTCTATAATTAAATTAAAACCCCTAATGGGAAATAGCCCCCGCCGCAGCAAACCTGCGGAAATTTATATGGGAAATTTGCTAAAAACTACTGAAATCATCCGCATCATTATTATAAAATAATACCTTACTAGTGCAGATAAAATAAAATAAATATTCTAATTGGTTTAGAAGCATCCAGAGCTGAAAAAATGAATTAATAGTTTAACCTTTTGCATTTTGGACATATTTATAAGGTAATTTAAGAATATTGCTAGCACAATGACCTGCTCTAATGCACATCTACCTTACATACACACATAGAGATAAGAGATTTGTTTATGTCACTATTCCATGTTTTCATTACTGAATTCAAGTTAATCGTAAAAATTTAACTTATGGTACAAAAAAAGCTGATGATAGATGTATCAATCAAAATTCTTAATTATCATTGGCTTTAAATGTCAGTGACAGGCTTTGATCAACTAATTCATGCTATTCTTCAATGTCTACCTGGGCCTTGACACATGAGTGGCAGGCATACAATGACACAATGTAGCTGTAATGTCAGTGACTAGCAGCTCTATAATGACTCATCATGTTCAGCTCGGCTGGCTGACATTGGCCTCATGGAGGTTCTGGGGTGTGATGATTGAATAAGGTCGGAAATCAATCTCTGTGTGACGGAAAAGAATTGATTTTGAGCTAAAACCAGTCTATGACCTTACTCTTCCAAACTTTTTTTTTCGTGTCAGGCATTTTGCTACTTTTTATTTAACCTTTCTGTGTTGGCCCACCAAAAATGTGTTGCTTAAAAGTTTTGGGTATGTGTTCGAAATGTTCATATTATAAGATGAGGGAAAACATTGTAAAATAGTCATGATTGAATTAATGGTTAACCCATGAGGCTCAAAGATGATAAGAGTAGCTGACATTGTTCTCCTAGGATAGCTTCTAAGATAGCCATTATGATTTAATGGTGTTGTAAATGAATCTGTGTATGACATGGAACGGAGTATAATATAGAAGAAGTTAGTCTGTGCTCTTTTAAAAGTCTGTTTGAAATAGAAATAATATATGTGAATGGGATTTTACTGTGGAAGATGTGTTTTGAAACTGACAAACAAAGAAAGATGAGGCGTTATTTAGCTAATCGGGTGTAAGAAACAAGTTTGAGAGCTACAAACAGTCAAAGTGGAAGCATTCAGATAAGAAGCTATTGCTGAAACTGTCATGCAAAGATTGTTAGCTACTGTGATTTTAAAATAGAAATCGGCAGTGTAAGGCAATTTGTTAGTAGGTCCTGATACTTTTCAAATAACTTCCATTACCAAGGGATTCATATCCAATTGGAATACTTGGTTTTAAGGAAACCTTAGAGTGTAGATCAATCAACCTAACTATAAAATAAAAAGTAAAACTGTCAACATTGCTTAATCATTTAAAGATGTTAGTTATAATTATATTTTATGTAGAGAAATAACTTCAACTATATGCCACCTCTCGAGTTTCCTAAGGTATCGAAATACCATTAAATTGTAACATGTGATGTCAACCAAGTTTTTTCCTACGATTATACCAAAACAAACTAACAACTACCTATAAGCTAATACTGAATGTGTTTTGTCCTCAGGATGAACGGATCCAAGAGCGAGGTGGCGGCATTCTTCGCTGGCCGCTCCTTGCTGGTCACTGGAGCATCAGGCTTCATGGGTAAAGTGTTGCTGGAGAAGCTCCTATATGCTTGCACCGACCTTCGTCAGATCTTCATCCTCATCCGTCCCAAGAGGGGGAAGTCCGTCGAGGCTAGGATGGAAGAAATGTTCAAATCTCCGGTAATTAGCTTTCAATGTCTGAGAAAATTATCTTCTTCTTGTAATTCAAGTCCCATGTGCATTTACAGTAACGCATAAAATGTACATTATTGTTAATATGAGTATGATTCTATCATTTGTTTACTAGTGGAGTCATTTTTTCTCCAGCAAGCTCTACCATGTTTGAAAATTCTTACTAGGCATGAAACCTTTGCTTTAAAGACTTATTTACTAAAACAAACAGATGTTCTGACAAATCTTTTAATTTAGACAAACATTTTACCGTTCATAAATGAGATGATTACACGGACATAAAAATTTGTAAAAGCCACATTGTAATAGCTGTTCTTAAAGCCATCAGTAAAGCCACATTTAAATAAATTTACGGGAGCCGGCTTAAAAAATTGGTTTTTCCCATTTTTTACCCAAATAACATAAAATTTTCAAAAGTTGTATATTGAAGCGATGCTCTTATGTTGGTATTTCAAGTTACCTGCCATTGGTAACCTGCCCACCAACTGGCTTAAAGGGCTTAAGAGACCAGAATTAAGTTAGTGATTTTTTTTATATTTGATTTAATGTCTGGAAAGCAGTCGTTTATAGTTCTCTAAATCATCAGCAAAATTGTCGTAACTTCAAATAGGGAACAGAAAAAACATATAATAATTTTTTCAGTTCGCTAACTTCAAAATTTTATCAGTGCATTATGGAAATGCTACTAACCACACAATATTTAAAGTTATGTTTGTAAACAACAGTAATTACAACAGTAAACATTGATGACGACTTCTTATAACATCAAATTATGTGGTCTAATTTTATAACGATTAGAAGATTATTTCCACAGTATGATGAAAATAATTGTTCATCACACAAAGCAAAAGTGTCTTTTTGGTACTTAATCATATTTCTAAGCTCATATGCGCCTCGCTTGAAAACCACAATTGCGTACGAAAAAGAGCCACTTTCGCTCCAATTGATGAAAACTACTATTTTGTGTCAATTAAAATTTCAAATTTCTACCTCTAATCCCCATAATATTTTGTGGAACTGAATAAGTTTAACTTCAAAAATTATCTATTGCATTAAAAAAAAATTAAGTAAACAGTGGTGGCTGTTAAAAAGTCTATTTAAAATATAACTCTCTCAATCATTCTTTTAAATTAATGTAATTTCTTTTCTACAGCTTTTTCATCGCATTCGAGATAACAAGCCAGAAGCCTTCAAGAAAATTGTACCAATATTTGGAGACGTACTGCAAGATAATCTTGGACTTACGGATGAAGCAAAACGTCGAATCACTGAGGAGGTACAGTATTGGGAAAAACACTCACTCATTTATACTCAAAGGATCTTTAAGATAGCTATGATATATTGTTTACCTACGACCGTTTTTTTTTAACTAGCCGTTTTAGTTCAGTTCTTAGAATTGAGAAGATTCACTTACCAGCATTGTTGTTTTATTTAACAACAGAGTAACGGACCAATGAGGTTCAAGGATTGAAAGAAAAGAAGTAAAATTGTAATACCTCGAACAACTATCAGCTTTTAAGACCAATTTAATTGCTTAAACAATGAGTGAGTGATTGGTTTGAAAATATGTCTTTACATCACAATCAGTGGCTATGAGAGGTTGTAAATGAAAACATAACTCTCTTGGAAGTTATGAGTAGTGATTTTTAGTATTTAGAAATGGTCCTAGGTAAAGTAGTGATCACAAATCGTATAATTAGCCTTACGCAACTGTTGCTTAAGCTACTATTAGATATTAAAGCAGTAAAGCAGAGTAAAAAAGCAAACAACAATCTTTTAGACATCTCTAGTCAGTCATTGTTCACTTTTGATGTCAGGTTACTTGATATTGTGTTGTTGTCAACTAAATATTGCTAACCAAACAAATAGATTGTGACAGTATATTTTTCTAAGAGTTTTATGTCCGTAGTTCATTACTTACAGAAAGCAAACATTTGATTCCTACACACTATGATACCAGATTAACCACACTTTAACCATAAAAGGATGAAAAATCCTTCACAAGGATTTATAACTGACCTATTTCATCTGAGGCAGTAAAACGTCAGCACTGAACTGATACTGATCATCAATGCCTGGGAGTTATGGTTACGTCCTGATAATTAGTTGTGCGCAGGTATCAGTAGTGATCCATAGTGCTGCTACTCTTAAACTGGAGGCCAAACTGAAGGATGCTGTGGAGATGAATGTAGTCGGAACTTACAGGGTGCTAGAACTAGCCAAGCAGATCAAGAACTTAAAGGTAATAGTGCAGAGTACTTGCATTGCCTTTAGCTTTGAATTATTTAACAAAGAGGTGATTAAACATTTGTTAGGTAATTTTAAATATATATTTAGAAAATATTGAACTTTATTTTGGTCAAACGATTCTGTAATCCCATTTTCTATGGTCTGGTTTACAAATTTATTCAAATAAATGTTAATTTTTCTGTTTTTACTGGAAAAATGCACTATATAATGTATGATTTATACAGATACTACTAACACCTTTAACAGTTTGTAATAATGTGTTTTCTAGTTAACAGAACCTTTCAAAGAATTACCTTATAATTGCACTAATAGTTTATTTGGTGGGGATGTTTGGTAAAAGAATTGCAACCATGCAACTACAACTACTGTATAAAAATAATAAAATGTGACCGCAGTCAGTTAGGAAACACGTTAGTTAAACATCCAGTTCCTTCGCAAGAGTAAGGTTAAATCATTAGTAAAGCCAAGAAACTGGTACAATACTTATAAGTACACTACTCAAACCAAAACATACTATAATTTTGGGTCTGCATACCTAATAAATTTATCTTTCTTAATTATTAAAACATACTACTGTATTTTGCGAATTGAATACAACAAATAATTTTATATGGAATTATAGGTTTTTGTCCATGTATCGACTGCATTTTGTCATGTGGATGTGGAGGTGATGGAAGAGAAGATCTATGACACACCTATCTCTCCTTTGGACATCATGCGGATGTGTGAATGGATGGACCAGGAGACATTGGATGTGATACAACCTAGGTAAGTTCCCAGTTGTAAGAGCATTTATTTATCATCATCCATCAACATTCTTTTTTACTATGATTTTGAATTGACAGTAGGATTTTGAGATATAAACAACTCTGATGGTCAAACACAGCTATAGTATAGTATTTTAACTATAAGGTGAATACGTAGCTTTAATTATTGTCATTAATTAGGTATTTTCATGTAATACTGATGCAATGAAATACTTGACTGTTTTTTTTCTATTTTACTATTTTATTAATTTGGAAAGTTTTTGTGATAGGTAGTTACAGAATAATAAAGAGGAGATAGTTGTATCTCCCACTATCTTTTACTTCCAGTGCCTCAAATTCTAGAAATCAAACACTGTGGGGATTTATATTTATTAATATAAACCAGTCTTGCAATTTCAAGTTAGATTAATTGAGTTTGAGTCTGTATTAGATTAGTTTGGCATTTAATTAAATTATGAGGATGGTGATTAAGCTTACATCTATTTTGAAAGGATCAGTTGTCATTCTAGGATAAGTGAAATATTTTTCTCAAGTTCAACTATCCCTTTTTCAGGGTATTGCATCCTCACCCCAACTCATACACTTACTCAAAGAGGTTGGCAGAAGCTATGGTAGACGAATACTATCCTGATATTCCAGCTTGCATAGTCAGGCCCTCCATTGGTAAGTTATATGATGTTTTACAGAATAGTTTGCATGAGCCTGGAATTGATTTTCGCATTACTTCAGGCTAGACCTAGGGGTTGGGGCATTATCACTTAGATAAAATCCATTGGTGATTTGGCAGGATTTGAACCCGGGACCCGCGCTCTAACCACTAGACCAACTCTCTCCCCCGAGAACTATAAACATAAGCTTTACAAAAATTCAACTTTTATAAAGCTAAGATGTATTTTGAGTTTGTTGATGTTTGAGGCATATACAGTAGCAGTAAAACCCTTAAAGCAAGGAGCATTCCAAAACCCTTATATAGTGACATTTTAGTTTGCTATAGAGTGATAGCATTTGCAGATAACACTAATTTTATCTTATTTCCAATGAAAATATCCTCTGACTATGTTCACAGAAGTTAAATTTCCATCAAAGTTGTAATGTCTGGAACCTACATTATCTTTGGAAAAAAAAATTTCCTAAAAGGGAATGGGATGTGAATTTTTGGTTGCGGTTTTTGTTTGATAATATCCGTAAGCTTGATCGTTAATAAATTTAATTACTTGTTTCTTTCCCCAGTAACACCATCAGTGAAGGAGCCAGTTCCAGGCTGGGTAGATAACCTCAATGGTCCTGTAGGTCTATTGATCGGAGGTGGTAAGGGAGTTATCCGTACGATGCATTGCAAAGCAGAACTGCTAGCTCAGCTCATACCTGTGGACTTTGCCATCAACGGAATAATTGTTGTCACTGCAAAAGTTGGCAAAATGACTGAAAGGTAACTCATTAATTATAAGAAAAGGGAGAAAACTCCCTTATAGATGATATCCTTATGGACCAGCTTTTGATTTGTTTATGTCCAGTACATAACGTTTCTGTTTGGTACTATTTATTTACTGCAATTTGATCAGCTTTTGAATGTAAATGGGGAGTCATAAATTCCCCTAAACAACTTTTAAACCTAAACGGACAATAATTTTACTGATAGTTATTTTTTGTTGTGTGAACCATATTGGTAAACTTATAAGTTATCTTTGACTTTGGGATATTAGAGAAAACATCCTATCCTTATAGATGACAGCAGTGAATTTTTGTATTATTACTTTTTATTGTTGCCTTTGTTCTTGAATAAGATGTTTGTGTGTCACCCTATGCATTAGCTTGTGTGGCATCTTCAGGGGGCCTTCTTAAACTATCTACTAATCACTAACACACCTTACTCAAGAACAAGGGCAACCACAGTAAAAAACTAATCTAATATAAGTTCTTGAACCTGGGATAGCATCAAAGTTAATTTTATTCGAATAAAACATATTCAAATTAGCCTCATACAGAAAGTGGTGCCGTTAAAATTATATTTTTCTTTTAATATTATATTTGACATGACACAAAAGGGGCCAAATTCCACAAAAAGTTGTCCTTTCAGTTCATAAACCAACAAATCACAATTAAACATCGCACATTACTCGCAGGACTAAAGACATGCCTGTGTACAACCTGACCCAAGGCAAGACCGCCACTGTGTCGTGGGGCCGTGTGCTAGAGATCGGACGAGAGATCTTCTACAAGTATCCCTTCTCTGTCATGCTGTGGTACCCTGATGGCAACATTCGCAGCAGCAAACTAGTGCACGACATCTACGCCATTTTCTACCATTGGATCCCTGCCTACTTCATTGATGGACTTCTGTTCATCTTTGGACAAAAACGATTGTGAGTTTCTAGAGAATCCTTTAGTTAGGTGTATGGTATGAGTAATTTCACTTATTCCATGTTAACTAGTATTGTAGCATATTTAATTGTGAGTAGTTGGTAATCAATTTGAGTAAAACTTTTGATTGTGTTAACACTTGTAATGTTAATAAAATAGATCAGCAACAGTGGTGTAGCAGCGAATCCTATATTTTAATTTTATATATTAGTCAGTTTTTGGATAGTGTTGAGCGTTCCCTTACTAGAAAATGTTCAACTTCCCCAATGAGCAGCAACTACTCTAAAATCAAATTCTTTATTGCATATTCCAAGTAATGGAATGATGAGGGCTGACCAAAGGCCTAACTTTTCAAAAACAAATTAACATCAAATATGAATCTGACCTTTTAAATTTGAACTGTTGGGCTACATTTGTGCATATTTGACATTCAAAAATTATTTATCATCCTATAGTGTAAGATTGATATTCTTTTCTTACCATACAAATAGGTTGCTTATGCCTATGACAGCTAGTTTATAAACCATCATGATTTCTTTAAATATTACTGTACCGATACCTATCAAAGATATGTTCGGAGAAATATTTGTTAGAGTTTTGTAAAGCTAAGTGTATCATCCTCACAGATTTTACCTTTGATTTTGGATTCTCCAATCACAAGTAAAAGCCTATTTTAAAATATAAAACACTTGGGGTCTTTGGATTACATAAATCAAGTAAAGCTCAGAAAGTTGCTGTTGTGTTCGTGGGTTGAATTGGACTTAGGAAGTGGACTGCTGAAATAAATACGATAATTTTACATGTTTAAAACTTGGCTACAAACAGGTGGTTAAGGTATGACTTTTGGAGGTAGACTGGCTGTTGTAGGGACGGACGGACATGGACGGTGGTGTGATGTAGGTGGAGGAGGGGATCAGGTGATGTTTGTAGCCAATGAGATTTATTGAAAATCATACGATCACAGTGGCGTGATGTACAAGGAAATCATAGTTACAACGGATATTAATATTCTTAAGATATATTACAGTTGCCCTATAAAATTTGCTTCTTTAGCTGCATTCATCCTTCTAAAAATTGTGCTCATGACCAATTAACAGATAATTTTAACCTTTTTCCACTTTCAGCATGATCCGTGTCCAGAACAAAGTGGCTGTAGGTTTAGAGGTTCTTCAGTACTTCACCACGAGACAATGGAACTTCAAGAATGACAAACTTCTAGCTCTAAGGGATGAGTTGAAAGGCCCTGACAAAGAGACGTTTGCAATGCCGTTCGAAGATGTGCAGGAGGTGCCGTACATGACGGACTGTATGTTAGGAGCTCGCCAGTACCTGTGTAAGGAGGATCCTGCCAACATACCTCGGGCCAGGAGGAACCTCATGCTGTGAGTACTGTATTTACTTCCAGCTTTTTTGAGAGTGACTGTGACTCATCGAATTTGAATTACAAGTGAAATAATTGACAAAAGAGTAGCACATGAAGGATTTGAAAAATTTAGTTTAAATGATTTTACAGAGAAAATTACAGCCAATGGAATGAAATACAACAAAATATAACACTGACAACACTAATATAAGACTTCTTCAAAGAGTAGATGATTGGATTAGGTAATGTATTGAGTTGCAGGAGTAGGATAAAGTTCAAATATGTAACTGCTGTATTTAATGATCCTGACTAAAGAATAACCATCTATATTAGTAACACAGTTACTGTCATTTATTTTTTACTGATATTCAACAACCATGTAGCAAATAGCAACCGTGTATATAGATGACTGAAGGAAATTATTAATGATAAATTATCTTGCGTGTTTACAGATTTTGGCTGTTGGACCGTTTTGCTGCTCTGCTCTTCTACTTGCTGATAGCCTGGATAATCGTTTCATCGTCTGACACAGTTCGAGGTATGCTCGACTCTGTGCTGGAAAGTGTGTCAACAGTGCCTGTCTTTAGACGATCCATTGACAAAACCCCCGCAGAGTAAAATGACACAACATGAAAAAGGCGTTTGGAATTGTTTTATTTGATGAACACGTGTTTTTGGCTTCCCGTATGCTTATTATAACATAACCATTTGGGATTATACTGATTGAAATCTGGCACTGAATTTAAGAAGCAATTGTTTACTTTAATTTAAAATTAACTATAGTTATAAATAAGTATATAGATCCAATCCTTGACATTAATTTTAAAGCATATTTTCTAGTGATGGACGAGACTAGGACGAGACTAGATTTTTCACTTTGAGACGAGACGAGATTTTTTTATTCCGGCGGGACGGGATTTTTTTTTAGACGAGATTTAATGAAGTTAAAAATAAATTAATATCTACTTTTTAGGTTCAGAAATACATACTTTCAAGTTTTAAAAACTTGACAAAAAATAGACAAAAATATTTAAAATCTTTTATTGAAAACATTAATAAAAACATCATTATATAAAAAAAATATTAACAAGGCCTAACTTATTAAAAATAACTCTTCGGCATAGGAAACATGGAGATATCAGTTAGTATACAGGGTGGTAAAAAAGTCCCAGGACAGTTAAATATTTTAAAAAATTATGCAGATAGAGCTACAATACTTGGTACAAAGTTACAGGGCATAAAACTCTATTTTAACACATATTCAATGATCCAATAACTCTTCAGCAGGACGGCCCACAAGGAGTCGGAAGAAAATCTTAAATGGAAGCATAGGTCAATATGCACATCAAATTAAAGGTCTTTTTTAGTAGAATACAATGCCGCAAACCGCACTTCAAAAGGTTGATCCTGCGCAAAATGACAGTTGTTCAAAGCTTCATTTAATTTACATTGCTATTATACGCTTACTCCTCAGGGGGCACAGCCCTATGAATCGGAAGAAAATTGTTAACGTAAGCATAGGTCGATATGCACATCAAATTAAAGGGGTCTTCACTAGTAGATTACGATGCCGTAAATTGAAGCTCAAAAGAATGCCTGAGTAAAAAATGGCAGTCGTTCAAAGATTCAAAATGGCGGATTCAAGAAATCTTTGAACATCTGCCATTTTGCGCAGGATCAACCTTTTGAAGTGTGGTTTGCGGCATTGTATTCTACTAAAAAAGACCTTTAATTTGATGTGCATATTGACCTATGCTTCCATTTAAGATTTTCTTCCGACTCCTTGTGGGCCGTCCCCCTGAAGAGTTATTGGATCACTGAATATGCGTTAAAATAGAGTTTTATGCCCTGTAACTTTGTACCAAGTATTGTAGCTCTATCTGCATTATTTTTTTTTAATATTCAACTGTCCTGGGACTTTTTTACCACCCTGTATATATAGTTAAACTTTGAAAAATATCAAAAACAACAGTATTACTAGTTAAGTATCAAGTAAACATTTTTAAGTCTTGTGTTATTTTTAGAATGATTTTGGAATAAAAAAAAATTTTAATCTAAAAATTAAATTATTTTAAATAAAAAGTTTGCAATTTACGTTTTGCAAAAAAACTTCACCACGTTTTTTTTTAAATATCCTGTTAGTATTTCAATTTCAATCCCGCCCAAAGCTTCGAGATATAAACAATCTCGATGTTTCGGGTCTTGTCCATCAGTAATATTTTCTACCCCTGTGACTAAAGGAATGAGCATTTAGTGGCTGCAACCACATTATGCTTTGAAATAAGCCTAAAACACATGAAGAAGTTTGAAGAGATAGAACTGATGTAAATAAATGATATTATTAAATAAGTAGATAATTTTGAATAGGTGTATTTTTATGGAGCAATAATGAATAAATAAATATCAAACTAATTAATGAATTGTGTGTAATAATTAACAGGATTTGGTTGAAGGTATGTCTTCGATTTTTTTCAACCTGTTTCCCTGTTTGTAAATATCTCAGAAGTGTAGGCATTATGTTAGACTATCAATGCAATTTACAACTCAAAGATTTGTTTCAATTCATTTGGTTCTAGTGAATGTTTCAAAATCACTGATTCAGTTCCCTCTAATCCTGTACAACAGTGTGCAACTCTTAAAATACTGCATATGGTCCAAAAATATATCTTAACCCTTTGTGGGTGTCTTTGATTTTAAAACACCTAGAGTGCCTAGCAGCGCACTCCTCCGGGAACCTAGTAGCGGGCATTTAGCAAAAGCGGTGATACTTAGTGCAGGCTCTGTGCTACACGACTCTTGGCAACTGTTTAATAAGGGAGAGAGCAAAATCATGTTCAATTTGTTCCTAGAAAGATGTGTGTAAGAAACGGTTACTCTTGAAACTGCAAGCCAGTGATAACGGATATTTCTCTATAAAAATAAACAAGCCTAGGAGGAAAAGTCTGTTTTGACACTTATAAAGGGTTAATGTAATATTTTAGTTGACATAACAAAATGTTCGAAATATTGAAGTAAAATTCTCTGGTCGGTACTTAATCTAAGGTGATTAGTAGTAAATATATTTTACAATAAAAGTTTGTTTTTAAGTTTAATGAATAAATCAACACTCAAAAATAAAATGTACTGTACAAAATAAGACCAAAAATAAAAATAAACTAGATTAGTCTCATCCACAATTATTTATAGTTACCAAGTGTGTACACATATTTATTTGAAGTGTTTTGTGTTTATTTTAGCATTTGTTTCAAATCTGTTCAAGGGCAGTTTAGTTTTAGATCACAAGACTTGGCTCAATCTAACTATAAGATATAACACCTTATTGTTATCATTCCATTTTAGTATGGTGCATTGTACTGGACTATATTAAAGAAACTTTTGTACCTAATAATATTTGCTGTTTATTGTATGTTCTCCTTATTCTTTCTTCCACAATAAAATCTGTAGTTTTCAATATGTTTTTTATATTTTTAATTACAAAATTATTAGCTACTAGTCTATTCGCAGAAAAACAAACACTGGAGATATTTTTAATTAAGTTCTTCTATGGCCAAAAGTGTGAAATATTCAAAGATTTCCTCCGCCAAGTTATTTATCATCAACCAATCAAACAATTTACAAACATAATAATTTCCAATACACACTTTACAAAAGTGCATAAACCACAATGATTGTCTGCATTCAAAATATATTGTGAAGGATATTTGAGTAAACTGTGATACTTTCGAACCCTGGAGGATAGCTCAAGTATACTCATTACTACTGGTTGTTAAAGTAACAGCAAGTAAGTGGGTGTTTTATAGATCGTTGTGGGTCTAATATGACCATTAGGATAACAGACTTATCTAATTCAATTGGTAAAGAGTATACTAAAACACAAGAAACACTTCACACTCTACAAACAAATAATAATCATAATTCACTGTCACTGACATCCTTAATTGAAAATTCTCTTAATGACAAGTCTAAAAATTCTGTCAAGTTTTAAATATTGTGAAAGTTAGTGTAAAGATGTTTGTGTTTCGTGTGACAAAATGATTTTTTTCAATTCAAGCTTGCTGACTTACACATATTTAAAAAAAACCTACTAAGATGTAAGGGCTCCACGTTGTATCCTCAACCTTACTATACAATAAAGTAGAATTTCCATTCTAGTCCAAGCATTTATTTGCTAAATGATGTACTAGCTTATATACAAAGCTGAAAAGATGTTTTCTAGAAATTGTATAAGAATCAAAATTTGTAGTAGTAAAAATATGTTTGCTGAATAGTCCTTATTCAAAGGTTTAAAACTTTGCTACATTAGTGAGGGTCATCCAAAATAACTGATAATAGTGACAATACCAGGAAAATGCTCTAAATTAAGGAAATACTACTGTTAAAGAATGTCTTAAAGGCTTTTAATAGTAGGTAGCAGGCCATTTTTTAAGTACGCTCGACCTCAGTCTAACTATCCAGAAACTCTGCCAAAACCCTAAAGTCCAAAGCCATAATACTATTTGTGCTGATAATCAATATATTCTGATAAATCAATACCATAAGTTAGCTAGGTCTTTAAACATAGCTTAGCTACAGAAATGAGCTTAAAAGGGCTTTGCATGAAAAACTAAGATTTTGTAAAAACAGTTTTTACTTCTCTAAATACAAATTCACAAGTAGAAGCGACGTCTAGATGTCTCCAGTTCGTGTCGTCTGCCGGACTGTATCCATTCATATTCGCCAGTCTTGCTGTCAAATGTTCCGAGTTGTAGGGACTGTAGCCGTAGAGTGAACCTTGGACCAAGCTCCTTCAGGCGAGGCTTGGCCTTGGGGCTGAACTCATACCTGGACACAAGTCAGATGTTATAGGGAGTCAGCCATCGTAGGAACAAACCATGTACTATGAAAATGTATACATTTTTATTTGAATTTAAACTGCTTACTATTTAGCCTATACATTGATTACTTACTAGAGAACAAAGACATACTTTATCATAAGGCTAGTCTATATTAGAACAGTATAGGAATTCCCTAGGAAACAACCCTTTTTGGTGGATAGACTTAATTTGAAAATAAGTGACTAACTGATTTTGCTTTGTCTCCATTGAAATAAAACACGCTAAGGTTGTCTTTCTCCAATCAAAGCCGCTATCATTTGTTGCTAAGTTTGTTAAAAGACCGATTTGTTTTATGTTTATTTATTAGTTTACATATTGTGTATTGGAATTCCTTTATCTCACATTCAGAGTGTGAATTTTGATAGCTATTTATTTTACATTGATGTAATGATGATGAAAATTGTGTTGAAATGAACAATGAATTTTACAATACATCACATGGATTTATCAAATCAACAATTTGGTAAGAATTTAAGACATTTTACTACTAGTCCCAAAAATTATCCATTTTGGTGCAATAGTAGTTTATGAGCAAGGTGAAGCCGGGTGCACTTTTTGTAACAAGGATCATTGTGAACGATACTTTTCATTGCAATGCAAATTTAAATAACCACATGAAACTTCTTGGTCTTAAATAATAAAAAAATTATTCCATAGTTATTCTCGTCATAGTTCTCATACTAAAAGTTTTACATTTCATTTAAGTCAGCACTTAAAAAATTTCTAGAAATAGACAAATATTACGCTATTACTATTAGTATCCTGATCAAAGTATTAGTGATCCTGTTGAGCTTAATGTAAACTTAGTTTGTTTGGGATAGGCACACTATTATTTGGGACAGGAAAAGTAATTTTTGTGAGGGGCAATTTTTGTAAAGCTCAGCTGTACGGAAATGAGCTTTATTCATATACAGAGTAGTGAAAATAATTCTTAACGTGAACTTTCACGAGTTGGAATTCCCAACATCATTCCTATGACAAAGAAGTGACTAGTTCTAAAGGGATGTTAGTTTAGTACCTGTGATGTCGAAAAAAGATGTAATCTCTCTGGTTGTGGAAGGTGACTGCTCTCCGTCCCTTGAATTCCGGGTTGATATTGAAAATAGAAGCAAGCAATCTAGCGACTGTTTGACCCAGACGAGTGGTAAAATTGTTCAGAATCACTTCAGGTCGATGGGACGAAATTTCCTTCCAGTCTTTCTAAAAGTATAAAATATTATGTTAGGTTTAAGATTGCAAAAAAAATGTTGTGAGGCCAGATATGATATTGTATACAGTCAAAATGAGACAAATTTCAAGGGGTAGGGGAAAAATTTGCATTGTCTAGGTATTTTTAATAAAGAGATTTCTTTTATCGAGGTTTTTTAATAATGCCGTTATTCGTCTTAAAGAGGTTTTTCCTCGATCTGAGGCACTGCCAAACAATGACTGAGGAAGAAAGAGAGATGGGTGGGGGTTTCATGTTGGAAAAGATTCTGTTTGTTCCGAAAACAACCTACTATGGAGGTTAAGATCATGGGCAATTTGTCTTATAGAGGTTGCATTCGTTTTGTAGAGATTTGGTGCTAAGAATATTCGTTGTATAGAGGTTAATCAGTCCTAGTCCATGTCACAAACAAATTCGTCTAATGGTTTTAACCTAATTACTACATTGTACAGAGGTGCTTTTAGCATTGACCTTATGAAAGTTTCAAGGGGATTTCAAAAGATTTGTCTTATCGAGGAATTTGTTTCACCGAGGTTCATACTAACAACGTTTGACTGTATAACTAGTCTAGCTCTAGAATGTTTAAATTCTTTGAACACAATCTCTATTATTATGTACCTCAATCAGCTTCATAAAATCATATCTCCATGGAACTTCTTAGTTGGCACCTTTATAAAATGTAAATAAATTAAAGAGTAGTCCAAAATATCATAACAATAAATCAGGTTTCCTTGAAATTGAATGGTCTGGTGGCCAGCATTAGGTACTGTTTGCGGTCTCTGACTATTGCTAGAGCTAGACATTCCATCCCCATGTTAAAGTTCTGCTTCTCACCAGATTAAAAAAAATTATTAAATGAAAAAATTCTGTTGACTCCAACTACAATAAAATCAGGAGGTAAATAATTGTTGTTGTGAGATTAGCCACCGACAGATTGCGTTGATGTAAATTACTAATTTCCATCAAATATGCAGTTTTTTTTTACAAGTAAAAGTAATGGGGCGACTTATTGTAACCTATAGCATCTCTTGTGTCACACCAACTACATCAGTAAAAAAATAAGGTAGAAAATATAATTTTAAATACTAGTGCACTCTGTCACTGGCTCGAAACTACTTTCTTTTTCAATAAAAATTGGCAACAGCTGGTCCATATAGATGGAATGTATACAATTAAAAGTCAATGATAATGTCTTTAAACAGAAGCTCTTAACTTGCAAAAACAAGTAATTGTGGATATATACTGTAGTAGTGAACAACATATTGAATACTCACCCTAAGCTCTGGAGTGATTTTCACGTTACTAAGCCTAAAATGAGCAGTTGGACCATCGGGAAGATGAATTACCACGAGACCATCTTGAAAGTGTTAAGGAAAATCTCAACCTTTACAATTATATTATTGTAAATTTCTAGTTGTTTTACCTGGGCTTTGCAATGGAGATGAACTCATAGTCAAAGCATTATTTAAACCTGTACAGTTAGTGGCGGTGACAACCCGACAATACCATCAATCACTTTCTAAAGTTGTGCGGGATTGGATGGTTTAGTAACACATAAAGGACAAAAAAGTTAGATTACACTTGATTTTAAGGCAAAGAACTTGGCTTCAGATTCAAATTTAGTAAAGAAAAGGAACAAAGCCAACAATTTGAATAGCTCAATGTAGCTTATAGTCTAGACACAAAATATTATTCTCTTCATGTCACTACAATGTATTTTAATGCAAATATGAGTGAAGGATGAATGTAGATAATAACCTGTGTAGCTTTGTTACTGACTAAGATCAGCTGTTTTATTAGACAGAATCATATTTGAAGAACAACCATCATTAACACCTCGGTCAAGTTTAGAAACTATCAAAGCTGCTGCCTTTTCTCAGGATTGCAACCTTTTGATTGTTAGGCGAGCACTAAAACTACTCGACTATTCTATTGGGAGTGTGTGTTAATTTATTATTTGTTTCCTTCCTAAATTATTTTAATTTTAAGACCCAGAAGCCATTTGTCATTGGGCGATCAATCCATGTGTCTATCTAAAAATAGTTTGATAATTGATAGTAACAAGACTAGGGTTTGGACCGTTCCAACCTGAAAAATGCCATTGGCGTGGAAAACACAAATGACAAGTGATTGTAAAAACATTAAATTTTACATCAGGTATTGAACTATATCATACTGGTACAGTGGTTACATCTCTTAATAGATGTTTTACAAAATATTTGATATTTAAAATTATAAGACTGGAGTGATAGCATATCATCATGCTGAAACTATAAGCATATTATTTCATAGTGTATTAATATACTAAGCATTGTATACTAAGCAAACAATATCGTACTGTGGTATAGTTTCAAAGTCAAAGGATACTAGGTTCGCCATGGTTCTCATTGATTATAAGGACATCGGTGAACTTCTTGGCCGTAGCATCCTTGACTATCCTCTTAACACTGCACCTCTGTCTGTACCTAGTCAGAGAGTTGGGGATCACTCTGCCTAACTCCACACCAAATACTCTGGTTTTCTGCAACATTTCATATATTGTTTCAGGCAGGGACAATAGGACTGAACAACACTACAACTAGCGCCTGCAGATGAGATTTGACATAGGCCTACTATACTAAGGTATTAGTGAGTAGGCAACACAACTACTGCACCGCATAATAACGTGACGAGTAATCAATACTCTTGACACCATTTTATTGGTTAAGTCTGAGATATTGGAATCAAGACTGGCATAACCTTAGTTCTATATAGAACTATCAAAGTCTGTGTATATAGTTATTTAAAATTAGAATGTTTGAAACTTCTAAATAGCTTATTCCCTATATGGGAAATTCGTTAAAAATGTAGGCCTAAATAGGCTAGACTAGATATTCAGCTATCTACCTATAATCGTAAAAAAGGCATTATTTTTTACTCGTAAATAACTGGAGTTAGAATAATATGCATAGGCCTACAAGAAAAAGCCATCGCCTAATCAACAAGAAACAAATTATTTTTCCTCTGCAGAAAATGTTTATGACAAAGGAATTGGACTTTAAGGCCTAAGCTTTTAAGGATGGTGGACACCATTTTTGTTGATTCAATCAGTCTTTTCTTAGGTTAGTCAGTGAACTATTGTCAATTAATTGTACAATATTTTTACAAGACTGAACTGCAGCAAAACTTAGCCAGGTTAAGAAGATATTGAATAACTAAAACCAATTCATTCACTTTGGATTTTAAATTAGGCTAGTGCTTCCAGAAGAGGTTTTTAAGTCAATCCAGAACATTAGGACGAATTTATAAAAAAGTACCTGTTAAAAGTGTGTTTCAGTATTTTTTTTCATCACACATTAATACAACAACATTATAAAGTTAAAAGGTTCAACATTAAAAAGTTAAACCATAGGCCTACAGCATTTAAACAGAAAGTAAATAAAAGAAACGTCTTACAACACTTAAAACATAGGTATAAGCTTATAGGTACCGGTACTGTTACTTACAAGACGGTAAATATACAAAAAAGATGGTAAGTGGTGATCGATTTAGATTACTCCAATCATCATCAGACCCAACATTCGCCTATTGGGTCTGATGATGATTGGAGTGTCCAATCGTAATCAATCACCACTTAAACAATTTTTTTTTATTTATCGTCTTTTAAGTGGGTAGTAACAGTATAAGCGTGAATATATGTTTTAAGTTTTATAAGAAGTTTCTTTAATTTACTTAAAATTTAATAACACGTACAATGCTGATCAAGAAGTGATTTAGCATTTAAACCTACCCTTAAAGGATTGTCCGAATATGTTATGAGAACTTTGGGTTCATACTGGTTTTGAAAATAGCTTTGGAATTCATCAGTTTGTAAATCCAAATTCATTTCTTCAATCCTCTCCTCATTCTCCTGTACTTGTGGATCCAAAACTGTAGTATCTGGTTCTCTTGTGTTTTCGATTGTCCTCGGGATACCTGGAGCCTCACCCTCTGCCTTTCTTCTCTTTCTTTCTGCCTTTTTTTGCTGCAACATTAACAACAACTTTTGTACACTCAAATTAATTAATGAGACTGAAGCAAGTTTACCAACAGAAAAAGGTCGTTGACAATCCGAATCTTTTGGAAGACAGCCTAAAACTTTGTTTTTAATTCTAATGTATTTAGAGTGCTATCCAAAAATCAAAAATTAAAATTAACACACTAACTTAACTAGTAGTTAAAATAATGGTTGTTGACTAGTGGAGGATTAGTAACCGGAAACCCAGCTTGGCACTTTGACTGATCAGTGATTTAATAATAGGCTACCGTACCTATTCCTTCATTATGTTTTCAATCAACTATAACTTAACACAGAAGACATACTACTATAACCCAGAATGCCAACCGCATGGTAAAAAGCGTTAAGTACTTTGAGAGAGCTTTGCCTGTTGATTCGTAGAGGCAGAGTGCATAGCACTACTAGCAGAGTGCATAGCAACGCTGGTGGTGCTGCCTACGAATTGACAGACAAAGCTCTCTCAAAGTACTTAACGCTTTTTACCATGCGGTTGGCATTCTGGGTTTATAGTAGTAGGTTTTCTGTGACTAGGCCTGTACACACAGTAGGGTAAACAAAATGCCTGATTTGAGGCGCAACTCTCAAAGGATTCACCCATTCCTATAACTTTACAGCTCGTGACCGGGAGCTAGCACTTGAGCGATCGCTACTAAGTAACTAATTAACTAACTAAATAATAACTAATACTAACTAATTAACTAATAGGTACTTAACTAATTAACTATTAACCTACAGATTATTTATACTTCAAGTTATATAAGGTCCTCTTTTTGACTTGACATGATGACAAAAAGAGTACAAGCTGCGATAACTTAAGTAAGTTAGTGGCGGATTACCGGTATATTTGCAATTATTCTAAACCTAAAATTTCTCGGTTCCATGGCCTACAAATTTGGTGCAAAGTTTGTATCTTTTACAATTAGCCTAGATTAAGTTTCCCTCTAGCGCGACCCCCTCTTCTGAGGTGCAGGGTCCTACCTGTGCAATCTTAAACTTAACTTACTTGCCCAAAGCTAGTTCTGCCAAGATGTTCAACATTTATTTTAGGAGTATCTTTCTCACCAAGCTCAAAAGAATTAAAAGATTTATGTGATAAGATTGACAAAATTAAAAGCTGTGATCATTAACTCTAGGCTAACCCTTACCTTTTTCAATAACTGTCTCTGTTTTTCTACTAGTTCTCTCCTGCGTATTTTATTTCTTATATGATTGGGGTTTTTCATTTGCGGCAGAACATCTTCTTTTCTGGAACTCATTTTGTTTGCTTTGTTAACTCTAAAACTCAGGAAGGTACAACCACAATATGAGTAATTAAATCAATGGTCGGAACAGCATGAACGGTCACGAGTTGGAGGTTAGTTTTAGAAATTTAGAATTGAGGTTAGGATTGTTGTTGGCGATGGAAGTGCAGAAGCTAAAACCATTGACTATGAATCCTTAAGGATTCATAGTCAATGCTAAAACCAAAACGTCACAGAGAGCCAAATCTGTCTAGCAATGCATTGTTTGTAGCATGCAGCTTCACAAACATTTTTTAAAGTTGATTCTTTTCTTTTTAGCGAATTCTATTACCACTATTACCATAGATAAAACATGTTTATCTATGCTTTTACCATAGGTGGTACGGTTTACCTAGGCCCAGGGCCGATTTACTTTTTCATTTTGATGTCCCTAGAGGCCGAAAACGCGACGTACGTGGACGCGATATTGTAATTGTAATTGTAACTTGAGTAATTTTCGTCCGATTTTGATGAAATTCCGTATAAAGGTGTAAAGCGGGATAAACTTGAATGAGTTCGCGAACCAGTATGATCGGACCATGCGAACGGGGTTTTATGAGGTAAAAAAATGGTAAGACTAACATGTCTGCATCTATAAATTTATGTATTGTATTGTAAAAATTGTGTTTACCGTTGAAATTGAATAAATAAATAAAAGCCTTTGGCTATGTAAAGTGACATACACAATGCATGTAATTTATTTATTTATTTATTTATTCATATCAAAGGATACATCATTATACAAATATTACATAGCTATACTGGTAGAGGTAGACACAAGAGCAGAGTACAAATAAGCAATCTTTATTGCACATATAACCACATCGATTAATAACTAAGCATAGATTACCACCAGCTGACCAGCAAACAACAAAAATAATAACAAGACATTACTAGCAATATACAACAAATCCAGATTATAATAGCAACAAAGTATAAAACTCCTAACATCAAAATGTTTAGTAATAAATTGTAGTTTAAAAGATATAGATTGAATGATTTTTAAAGCAACTCCAAAATAAGCTCAATCATTCATAAACATTATAATGAATAATAATGGGAAGTGTCCACATAATAATGGCATAGTGGCTCCCACTTTTGGTAAAAGACCCCGGGAAAATTTGATTGGAATGATTTGATAAAGTCACACAGACTAGATTTCGTTATCTTCCTCTATAGTAGGCTACTTTAATGTAAAACACAAGTGTAAAAAGTGCCTAAGAAAACACTGACTCATTGTTGAACTAACCGTGAAAAGTCTACTTGCAGTGCATAAAGTCATTGGTAAAATTATTTAAAAATATTGGATTTAAATTTGTTATAAAGTATTTAGAATGTTGACTAGGATTTAATTGAGACATTATTCATTGGTTTTCTAACGGTAAAAATTGGTAATTTATACTTTCCTTGGAGGTTAGCAGTTAAATTATGTTTTATATATTTCTTTGAGAATTTTAAAAGTATTTGTGAACGTTATTATTTGTAATCTTGCAAAACTGATGACAATGCTAGTGATCATAATTGTTTGAGATGATTGCATTTTTTTAAATATGTGATGAATAATGAAATGCCGGACCAACAAAATAACAAATTCGTATACAAAGTTGGATGTATTTCAGATTTTGTCTCTTGATATGTTTAGTTAAATATATCTTGTGTGGTTAGTTAAAAAGCAAGCCAACAAAGATCGTTTTTACTGATAGCCATATTGTTTTGTATTGATATCATTATGGTTTATTTTTTACGAGCACTGTTATAAACACAAATTCAATTGTACCCCCAAAGAAAATTATTACAAAACAAATAATTATATTCAGTATCATAAATTCGAAATATTAATTTTCTAGTTTAGTTTCAATAATTGTGTTTTATCACAATCCTGAAATCATATAAAAGTGTTTTAAACACAAACAAAGAATAAATTATAATTACTTCGAGATATTAACTACATAAATTTTACAAACTCATTTTTCTGATAAAAGAACATTATAGTCCGAGCTCTGAACAAAAAAATGTACAGCAGCACAATGATTAAACTCACTAAACTAAACAAGTTTTGGGTTCGCATGCGGAATTCGATTGCATAGTACTACAAGATTATTTTGGATGTTTGCTTTTATACACTAGGCCTTGAGACTTGGCGTGTGGCAGTGTGTGTACCAGCGCAGAGCGCTCCACCACCGTATAATGCAATAATTATTGTGTTATCATTCAATAGTTAGTCGTACTGACAAGAACCTGTTTATTTTTTATTCTTAAAAAACAATATGTTGCTTATTCGTCAGATATTTGAGACTCCAACAGTTGTTGGTTGGATTTAAGCTAGTTGTTAAACAGAGTATTTGAGTATTTATATTCATATTATAAGTTTGGAGACACGAGTTTGAAGAAAAACAACAACCTTTACTTACTTTTTCCGACGGTTCACCATTTATGGGTTAGCTATTATCGGTAATTATTTTATTTTCCAAGTTTGGAGTAAAGTTTACAAATCATAATAATTACATATTATAAATAAATATATTATTTCCAATAATAATAATTAAATGAAGTTATATTTTTATGGCAAATAAAAAGTAGAATAATAAAATCAACACCTATAAAATTATTTAGTAGAATTAAAATGTTAAATGTAGTTCTAAAAAGTAACGGGCCGCTCCGGGATTTGAACCCGGGACCTCCTGCACCCAAAGCAGGAATCATACCCCTAGACCAAGCGGCCACTTATCAGTGGAAATTATGTTTGCCGTCGTAAACACTTCGAGGTCGTTATTGGAGAAAGCTAAAACCAGGTGTTGAGAAAGTAGTTTCATTCTTCGTCGTCAAGCGCCTTCAAGGATCTCAATGCAATGTAGTCGGTATAGCGGTAAGGAGCGCTCGAGAATCATCTTGGAGGAGTTTCTGATATAGCTAAAAGAAGATTTCTGCTTAATGCTTTAATCAATCTAATAACTTATAATGTGTTAATATTTTAAATTGGACGTCATGAATTTTTTACTAATCGTGATGTAAAATGTTAACAATAACCTCTCTTAATAACCATTTGAGGGAAGTGCATTCTATATCAATGTAACCACTGTCAATATACTGTAGTACTTTTTACCGGCAGTACACAAATCTAAATTTATTTTAAGACATAGTTTGATTTTCTAAATGTTATCCGCAATATGTATATGCACTTTATACTCTTATATTATTACGAGTTAACACCATTTAGATGTTTCGTGATATTATGGCGTCAGTACATATACTATAGGTCCTAATGTAAGTTATTGTTATAAGTTTTGCTTGTAACAAATTAAAAATACGAACAAATTTAATTCATCTTATATATTTAAACAAATTTTGTATTTCTTTTCCGCGTTTGTTTGGCTCTTCTACCCGACTGATTTTCATGATTGAGGTCACAAATTGAAAGATGCACGCACAGATTTCACATCAAGCATCGTGATATATTTATCTACTATATAATATATAACTCGGGCAAAAAACATAAATTTGATTTATTTTCGAGTTCTTACTTCAATTTATTTCACCAGTTAGTATTATAATATTATTTATTTTGGTCTACGAACCTTCAGTGGAATGCTGGCTTCACTGTTATAAAAAAATTAACAAATTAATACAAAAACCAACACAAACAAACAAAAATTAATAGATGAATTTCTTATTTAAGCTATTAGTTATTCAAATCGGACGACTTTCAAGCAAACGCAAGGTAAACAGCCAACATAAAATTTTGTATAAGGTTTTTTTTATAAAAAATCAATAGCTCCAGTATTTTTATATGTTTTTGGACTCAAAATAGTCAGTAAATTGACTTTAATTTGAGCCATTGATCGTTTGAATCAGCTAAGTTCAAGATACTGTATTACTCAATCAAAATCATAAATTTGATTGCTTCTCGGATATTAAATTTATTTTAACGCTGCGGAGCAGCATGGGTCCTCTAGTCTAAATAATGTAAACATTTTTATTATGAATACTAGCTGGCCCGACAGACGTCGTCCTGTCCTAATGTGGTTTTATGTCAATTTGTCAAATGCTTGTTCATTTTCAAGATCCTGGTTGAAGTTCGTTCGCTACACTCACTCACCTTTAGGTTGGAGCTCGTTCGCTGCGCTCACTTGCCTTCAGGTTTGGTCGTTCGCTACGCTAACTCGCCTCCAGATTGAAGTTCGTTCGCTACGCTCACTCACCTTTTGGTTGCAAATTAGCTGTTGTCATAAATTTAAAAAAATAATAGTGCTGCACCCTGTTGGTAATCTATTAACTTTTTAATGCTATTGAACATCACAGAATCAAATTGTTTAGTTGAACCAGCTAGCTGTTAAGATTCGTTAATTCCGTTTAAATATGAGTACTCATAAGGTTAACATGTGAAACTCCAGAGCCACTGGGGCGGAACCCTTTTGAGGGATCTGCACCAAACTTCACACAAACCATCCTTGAATAATGCTTAATAATACCTGAAAGTTTCATTACAACCTGTCGAGCGGTTTCGGAGTCCATAAAGGAGAAACAAACATACATATAAACAAACATACATTCAAACAAACACACATTGGATTTTATATATATAGATGATACATCTTAATGCACATGACATTTTGTATTTCCTATATTTATTAGAACGTAATTTTCAACATGCCAATTTTAATAATTTAACATTGAAATCACTATCCCTTCCTCCCAAAGGTTTGCATAGACATTCATCAAAAGTAATTTTAACATTCATAGATTTGTTGATTACATAGCTTGTTATAAATAAATAAATAATAAATAAATAAAAAGGCCTTTATTTACAAGCGAGTTTCATTTACATGATTTTCAAACTTACTCAAGTCAAACTAAAACTAAACTAACCTAATATATACAGAAATTTAATATACAAAAAACTACAAAGAAAAAAAATTTACAATTTACATTTGTTTTTCTGCATTGCGGCCCTGAATGAGCCATACGATTTGGAGCTCTTTATGTCCTGAGGGAGGCCATTATAGGTAAGTTACTATCAGTAGGTACTGTTACTAAACAGTTTTGTGTGTTTGCATGGGTGTTTTGTTTAATACATATACTATATAATATTCTCCAATGAGCTGTGTGAATGAATTCTACTCATGTTTCTGTAAGGCACGGATTAACCTCTCAACTTTTTCTGAGGATTACGATACGAGGATTAATTAAATTCAGAGCTAACACACTCAGTCTCAATGACAGATTGTTTACAAAGAACTTGAAGTGCAATCCAAGGTGCTACAATAATGGTTTGTTTTGCATAAAATGATTAACCTGAACAGTGTTTATTTTCATCATTCATACATGAAAAAGTAAATAATATACTTCTAACATTCGAGTGTACATGCTTGATTTTTCCAAAGGGTCTGGTCATTGAGAATGACAAACAATTAACGTCTTGACTGACTATGTAAGCTGTTTTCTACTACTTGTGGTAAATTACAACTGTACAGGGTGAGTAATAACAACCGAAGTAATTAAATAAATGTATTCATCACTAGGTCTACCAGCTCTTCGGTTCCTTGAAGCTGTAGGGAGAAGTCATCGTCCATGTTAGGATATTCCACAGTTTCGATCATCAAAAGTGTAACCAGATCATGTACAAAACCCCTAAGATTTATTCTAACTAAACATTTTGGTTTATCTAATAAGATATAAAATGGCAGTTTAAAATCAAAGTATTTGAGAAAAATTAACTAGCTAAAACATTTAACTTTTATCATTATTTGCCGTGGAGTTAGAAAATACTGCTGTTGAGTTTGATTGTTACTACACTTTGAAAACTTGAGAGAAACATGAATAGGCACGTTTGTTATTCAGTTAATTTAGTTCAAACAATCTGGTGTAAATAAGTAGTAAACATTTTAATATCCAACCATCAATCTATACATTCAAACTTTCAATTATTTAAAAATAATTACATCGGATCCTAAACATTCTTTTGATAAATGTTTTAACGAGAATGTTTTATCTGCATTTAAGACAACATAACATATAATATAGGATCATTAGTATATTGATTGATATTTAGATTCAATTTAAAATTGCCTAATATAACAACATGTTAAATTAACCGCCTTGGATTTTTTTATTCAAACATTTTTAGTCACGTTAAAAAACAATTTTAGCCGCCATTTTACCAATATGGCCGCCAACTTGGATTTATCTTATAGAACAAACACCCTATATTTTATGATGTTTTTAGAAAGTAAATGCAATTTAGAGAGAAAGTGCCAAGAGTAAATGAGTCTTAAAATTGCATTCTAAAAATACCATAAAACACATAAAAAATATTGATGCCATTTTTGTGGCAGCAAATTTGAAAATAGGAAAACTTTGTATTTTATTGCTTTTTTAGAATTCATTTTAACTAATATGATGTACTAATATTAGCATATTTTATTTTAACTATTAGTTATTTAGTACATTTTAATTAATAAGTACATTTTATTTATTTTAACTAATAGATGGAATTTTAAGACTTATTTACTCTTAACATGTTCGCCGTAAACTTACTCGTTTAGGAGCTACATGATGCAGAATGTTACATTGCAAGTAATTTTTTTTCTTAGTAACACGCTGCATCTCCTAAATGAGTAGCTATAAAGAAAAAATGTCCAGTATACAACGTTTTTAAATTGCATTTAATTTCTAAAAAATCATCAAATAAGGTCTTCCATGTGGAAAATCAAATTTAGCGGACATATTGGACAAATGGCGGCTAAAATTATTTTTTCAACTCGACCAAAATTTTTTAAATAAAAAATTGAATGCAGTTACAATTTAACATTTTTTATCTATTATAACTTTCGATTAAAATAGCTGGCACTCTTATATCAATCACCCTGTATTTATTTTTATTTTGAAATTAAATTCCAAACTGTGTAGTCACATAAGCCTGAATTAATAATGTAAACGAAAATCATAAAATTTTTCTGAACCCCTATTTTGAAACAGCTGTCGCACAAATTACGTTTAAAACATTTGTCTAAACAGCTGGAGAATGTGAATGAAATTTATGGCTTTTTAATCATCCCACAACAATAAGTTTGGGAAATCAGGTGTTAAGTTGATAGTTCATCTTACGAGTACATTTGAGTTCTTCTATTCACTTAAAACTCGTGATTTTATTTATTCTAAAAGGTTAATATAATCATTTGGTAAAATATCGTTATCAATCGTGTCATTGCTTTACAACAAAGTACGTAAGCTACAAGAACAAGAATGGCAAAAGTTACACGTAGTTTTTTTATATATAGTGAGTCATGCACGTATTTTCGTTTTTTCAACGAAACAAAATACTTTGCGGTTTGTTCAAATTTATCATCTTATGAAGACCGGCAGCTAATATCGATTAGATAACATCATTGATGGATCCAGAATCGATCTCTCTGAGACCAGCAAGAAAATACAAGAACTGCAATACAGGACTATAACGATAAAATATTCACTCAATACTTTTTGGATAGTTATCCATACAAATTCATGACTGTGTTTTTCAACATCATTGGAAATTAATGTTCTTTTTTGTGAGAAAACTGTGAAAATCCTGTCTTGTAACTGTCCAACGTCAGTCTTGTGTTAGGTAGAAAAATTATTGCACAGTCCAAGGACAAAAATAATCTGAATCTAGAAACGGGTCTGCTCGGATTATTAACCCTACATTTACCATCCCTACCCATACCCTACGATATTTGTTCTAAATCGCATCATATAGCACTATTACCGTTTTATACAGTATAATGGTATATTAATTTCCTCCTTAAGTCGTCTTTAATGCGATAGGGCGATGAGACATGAAAGATGCAAAAGTTAACAAAATGTTGTCATCCTAATTTGGGTAAATAAATTGCTCATCTTACAGAGTGACAGAAATTACTAATTTTCGAAAACATATCCTTTAGTGGCCCAATTCAACGTCCGTAGTCAGTTTTCAATTCAACTTCAACGTAATGGTATGTCTTCTCCAGTCGAGTAGTCAATTCCACTTTAATGTTTTCAAACTGTGCTGTTTCACCATAGATACAGAGATCCAGATGAAACTTTCTGTTGGAGTGAAGTAGTTCTGAAGCAGGGGTGAGTCAGGCCACGGGGTGTCCACGCTGCCTCCCACCTGGTATCTTATCACTGCCACCTGTATCACTGATAAGATATTGACAGGACGTAACAACGTGGTGTCACTCCACCGCTGTCCTCTAGTCTGCAAACAACAGTCTTCATTGTGCTCTAGAAACGGTTAACAGGTAATGCAGTTGGTTCACAGGTACAATCAAATGTGTAAAATTGTGATAATTACTATGTAAATCAATATGTTAATTGTTTTACATATTTTATGTAGAAATATCATAAAGTTAGTCAATAGGTGCCCTATAGCATTCATTGTTCATACAAAGGCTATCGAAAAAAACTTATTTCCGATCGAGCTACCGCATAAAAATCTTTTAAATTAATACATGGCAAAGTACCTGTAAGAAGTGTTCATTATGGTGCTTTGATTCGAACCCAAACGGACAACCGAGCCAAAAACCAAACGTATACGTACGTTAGTATAGAGTTCGAAATTTGTAAGTTATCGTTTAAAATTGTTAATTATTTTTTACGTTGTGTACCCTAAATGGCGAATGCGGGTTAATACAATGCGTTTTAATAGCCAGTATACAGCATTTAATTTGTGGTTTTGTTAAAGTAGCATTTACAATCAAAACACGTTACAGGTTTACAAGCGAAGATAGCAACGGGGTTGGATTAAAAATATGTAATTACACGAGGACATTATTACAATGTAATAGTTAAAGTTAGAATCAAAACCAAGCAAATGACAAAATTGCGTTTCCGTTTTGAAAACGTTATATGAGTGGGCGGATTCAGGGTCTCGAGAAAAAAAACATCATGTCAATAGAAAAAAAACTTAAACGTATGCAGTAAATTTCAAAACAAATAAACAACAACTACGTGACATCCACATTTTACCACAGAAAACATACTACTAGTTTTCTGTGATTTTACACATCCATCCAACCCCGACATAATCATTAGAATAATTCTGGCGCTCAATACGTGTTGGCAAAAGTACATTAATTTTGCAATTTTATAGAGTACCCTAATAATAAAGTTGTGTTTTTGTTTTTGTGAACCAATTATTTGAATGAATCCCTTTTCTGAATTGTAATGCTAAAATGTCTACAAACTCTAAATATAATTTATCAGAATGTTCTTAATGTTTATTTCAAATTGAAATGTCGATTGACTCTGTACGTGTGTTGTTAATAATACACGGAAGCTTTATTAAGAATTCGGCAATAAAAAAATTGTTCTTTCTGAAGTATGAGCAATTTAAAGACGCTAGCGCATAGTTTAACATATACCACATCTTCTCTTTACCATGTGTAAGTAACTCATTGTGTATACAGTATTGTACAGTAATGTATCGTATGTATGTAGCTGTAGCGAACACTATGTCTGTCCATCTGTTCGATTCCAACCCATAAAGGGATGTGAAGTGTGAAGGCCTTTTAAGCGTTTAACTATTGCCTATAAGAGCTTATAGTAAGTTAAGTGAAAATATAACAATGCAAATTACAGAAATTTTACCAGATTTTTATATAAAAAAAAGTATTAGTGCCCAGCTTTGCTTTTATTTTAACTTCTATATTTTTGTAATCCATCCTTATAGTAATACCTTAAAGTAAAGAGTTATTATCGTTTATTAAAACTTTCACACATTCGTTTCACTGTAAGCTAGGATTGTTTGAGCTATCATTTCTATTTGTTAGAAACAGATTATATTATTCTGATTCGACATTTCATTTGGCTGTTTATGGATTTTGTAGCACGTGCACCACAAGAAAAGCATGAACACCATTACAACGGATTTTAAGGTGTGAAACCAAAAGTTTTGTAATAAACTGCGGTGGTATATATACTCCTCAAAACCATTAAAATTTGCTTTTAAACGTGACAAATTTTCAAATTATTTTCGTCATTGGTTATGTCCCTAGCGCAACTTATAATTTGTATAGTCAAAATCTAAGATGTCGTCAACATTACTGTATAGGCCATCTAGGCCATCACGTTCAAAAGGGATATTAAGAGGACGCTGATGTAAATTTTGATTATTGTTTTACTTTTTGTGTTGCCCTTTAAAGTCAATAATTGGAATACGTCATTGATGTTATTGATGTTATTGATCATTATATAATTATTTAATATGTTCATGTTGTTGTTGTATTTATTCCGAACAGTTTCTATTACGATTAGTAAAACAGTTTTCACCACGTTTCAAGATCTGAAATCTGATCCCGCCCTCAGGTGAAGAAGTAAACTTACTAACCAAACTAATGTTACCACTAAGTCACCACTACTAAGTTTTATTTATTAAGATATTCTATTTTCAATCACTTTATATCGTGTTAGGCAAAACATGGCTGAAGATTCCTAACCTAACTTTTGATCTTAATTTTTCTGCCTCATCCAACTTATGTATTCTTATATTTTCCTGTGTTCAAACTATTATTCAAATGGTAGATTGTTCTATATCCGTCGTGTAAACGGTCAAGGATTCAGCACCCAAGTGTGTATTCAAGATAAGTAAAATAAATAAATAAACTTTTATATACAGTGTGATTTGTACTCAGTGTGACAAAAGTTTTTGATGTAAGTACAAAGTAAATGCAGTGTGATGATGCATATAAAATGTTCCAAGTCTAAAAATTTGCTTCCCGAAAAAATATTTTATGTTTTTAAAAAATAACCATGCTTTTAAACTTAATACAGCGATTTCTCAATTACCTGTAAATGGATTTGAGTAGATAATGTCATTTTCGTGTTCTACATTAAATTTTGAATAAGAATAATGGAAAATGACGGGGATCAGTAGTTGTAAAAAATCCATTGTAAATAGATTCAAAGATAAAAATTAAGATGTTTGATAAAAGTTTAAAAAACATTGGTCTATTGCATTTGTTCACACCCTGTATACAAGAAAGTGTCGGAATATGTTAAAAACTGCGCCATTTTATAAGCTTTCCAACCACATGCTACACCATTGAGCTTTATGTACGCTTTAGTGGTTTGAAGACTACAAAGCATGGTGTCTTTAACATTTAAAACATAGAAAGGCGGCATGTATTAAGCAAAAGTTGTATTTTGTTTCAACTTGAACAGTAAAAACAGTAAAAAGTTCCCTGTTTTCTGATATTCAAACACTAAAACAAACAAAAAAATATCTAAACCTCAATAGTGTAGCATACGGTTGGAAAGCTTATAAATGGCGCAGTTTTTAACATATTCCGACACTTTCTTGTATACAGGGTGTGAAAAATGCAATTGACCATTTTATTTTTTTTAATCAAACATCTTAACTTTATCTTTGAATCTATTTACAATGGAGTTTTTACAGCTGATCCTCCGTCATTTTCTATTATTCTTATTCAAAATTTAATTTAGAACACGAAAATGACATTATCTACTGAAATCCATACACAGGTAATTGAGAAATCGCTGTATTAAGTTTAAAAGCATGGTTATTTTTGAAAAACATAAAATAAATATTTTTTGGGAAGCTAATTTTAGACTTGGAACATTTTATATGCATCATCACACTGCATTTACTTTGTTCTTACATCAAACAAATTTTGTCACACTGAGTACAAATCACCCTGTATAAATGAACGAACCGTAAGTAAATAAATAACACAAGTTTTAATAGAAAATTCGTTTAGCCAGATTCAAATTGAATAGATGACGCAGTTTCATCATGTAATATTCCGCGACAGAAATAATCTGACTGACAGAACAGTAATGGGGCGTAAATTGATGCATAAATTTACCCTTGTAAAGCCTTCATTATTGTTGTGGAAGCAGCCGCGCGTACAGCGTAGATTGTGGTTCGTAGTACGTATTTACACAAATACAAAGTGAGTTATTAAGTTATTGTTGTCTTCAATTTTTTTGTTACAATACATCGTTAGAAGCAGTTTAAAATTAAAAATTCTGTAATGATTGGATAGGCATCAGTTGGTAATAAAAAAATATTCTAGGGTGATTGTGTGGGTGACTTTGTCTAGTAAACTAAATAATTTCTGGGGAATTCATCTTTTTTAAGCTCTCAGTCATCGGGGATTCGAACTGTTAAGGGGGTAAAATTTCAAGAAGATTTCAACTTCTCCCTTATCTACCTGTGGATTATTGGTAAATTAAGTAGTAAAATAATTGTAGATTTGTTGTACCTAGTCCAAAGCAATGAAACTTTATATGACATAATGTACAGGTTGATAAAAATATACAACTTTAAAAATGTGTATTTAATGGTAGGAACATAATAGAACCTTCTGTTATACATGATTGTAAAGGATATTTTTTTTATATTTTTATTCAATGACTAGTTCAGAGATGTTCAATATTACTATCTCCAGACACTCGAGCAACATCAACCCGATACTCAAACTCGTTCCTCACGACCATCCAGAGCTCCAGATCGTCCAGAGCTTTTCCATTGCACAAACACACATTCTCTGTAAAGTGTTTATACCAACGTTTAATACACCACCTATGAACACCATACTTCATTCGAAATGCACACTGAACACCTGTCATCCACTTCTGCCTTAAACACAAAAAGCTTTCTGTTGAGCGGTTGTCATCTTAGCCTCAACTGACCCTGACTCCTTGGCAACAGCGCCTTATGCGAACAAATGAGCAGCTAAATGAAACTGTATAGCTTACTTAATCTGTTGCGGAAATAAATCCGATTTTATTTGACTCATCGTCGGTCGATTTAACAATATACGATATACATCCATGTGTCAGTCAGTATTATTATTACACGACCAGATTCTCGTTGCATTTATTCGTGTTCATGTTTGTATGTTTGTGTAATTACAATTTGCCACCGACAACTAATCATGATTCCAGTGATTAGGATGATTATTTACTGCCTTGGTTTTCTACTTGAAAATGATCCTAATCTGAATCCGTGGGTTGACCAACCGAAACCAGTATCCTTTGAGACTCAAACTATGTTAAAACTCGTTCTCCATGTACTATGGACTCGTTATCCGTATACTAGGTTTCCTGTTGATTTCAGTATCTAGTACAGTACATAGAAGGTAAACAGTTAATGGTTTTCCTGGCCATGTGCAAGACGTAACACATGTGACGGGCAAGGTGATTAGAGAGATAACGCCGCGTCAAGTTGACAATAATTTGTGGCTGGTACTTGTTGATTGTTACAGAGAACCTACAAAGCCTACAGAAGCGATAACAAAATATAACCTGACGAACGGGTTGTGTTTTTAGATTATTACCCGTATTGACGTATTTAAAACTAACTAGTTGCTCTGCCCGTGCTTCGCTACGGGGTGAGAATGCAGAAAAGAATAATTTGGTTTTACATTAAGATACAATAATATACTATAAGAAACAGTTACAACACACTTAACAGGAAACATGTAGGCAAAGGCTCTCGTGCTTAATGATTATTTAAATGAAGATCTCTTCATGTATTACAGTACTATCATTTTATATAATGTATAGTATTTAAAATGTATGCAAAAGTATAATTCATTGACCACATGGCACTAAGAAACAATTCTCCTTGTAAAGAAATTAAATTAAATAGCAGAACAGCATTTCTGACAACAGCTGGAGTTTCATAACAATGTTTGTTTCCCATGTTAATCTTATGGAGAAATACGAAATTTTAAGGGGTCCCAGGGCCTCACTCTCTAATTATTTCCCTAAAAAGAAAGTTTCCTGCACAACTTCACGTTACGCTCTTTCCAATGACACCAAAAACATGTCAATCGGTTTAGTAGTTTAGGAGGAGTAATTGTCACAAAAAACCTGCTTGCGTATTAAATAAGTATAGATAATATTGAAAAGGCTGTAATTAAATCTTATAATGTTATGTTACCAATTTCATAATGGTTTGTCTTCTGATTCTGGATCTTCAGAATTATCTAATAAGAAGTTGCCTACGTTTTTACGTTACTGTCGGAACTATCCGCGTCTATAGATATATAGTTTTTCACAGTTCCTGAGTAATGTGAACAATTTTTACCACCATTCAAAATTACTGAATTTTGTAAACATACTTTATCAATGCTTTGCAGAAAACACTAAAAAGCAAGGCCAGATTCTGAAAAATGACAAGATATCTTCAAGAAATTTTGATTATATCGGGGTGTTATGAACAGCTGACAATCGACAATTTCTCGATTTCGAGCAACAGATACACTAGTTGTAGTGTAACCAACTACAACAGCAAATCTTATCGGTATTCGTGGAGCAAATCTTAAGGTTAGAATGGTTATCTTTTTAAAATTCTTCATCCGGAGGAACCATTCTACAATATGAGTGTAGAATGGTGTGAGATGATCTGTTTAGCTCGTTTAGCTTTGTTACTGACTAAGATCAGCTGATCAGCTGTTTCATTAGCCAGGATCCTATATTCTAAAACGGGAAAACTTTTATTTTCGTTCGAAGATTTTTCGTTGAAAATGGGGTATTTTGACCACGAGAAATCGAATGGAGTTGGTCACAATGCTGGGAAAAAATCCGGTTTCTGCCCTACAGCCATGGAAAGTGCCCATGTTATCGGTAACACCTTTTTGTAGCGACGGTTAACCAAAAGTGCTGTTGCGAGTTATTTTTCCTGTCATAATTTGATTTGACGTGTAAACAAAAATAACTGCATTGGTTAGTTCGGACTAAACATTTTGAAGAACAGATTAGTTGGTTTATTAGGTAGGCCTACATATTAGTGTTATATGTTTCCAAGGTCAATTTTCAAGATTGAAAATGAAACGCGGAAGACCTACGAAGAGGAAATATTTACATAATCTGCAAGGGATCAATCGACCATCGAGAAAGAAATTTTACCACTTGGTCTATAACCGAAAAAGATTCAACCAGCTCACCAGATCACCAGATGTATCAGAACATCGGACAAGTCACGTATCGAAGAATGAAAGTAGTAAAATAATTTCAGATCTTGGCTGAGCAATATGATGAACAAGAGTCGCCATGTCGGCGGGCGAGGGATCTCATTGAATATGCAATATGCATGCACCTACATTGCAGGTGGACAATATTAGAAAACTTGGAATAGCGTGCTATCGTTTTCTACACTTAATTCTGAAACTGCAAAGATACACAACGAAATTATCCAAATGCTACTGGGCAATGAGAAGGTTTGGACATTTTTCGATTCAATAATTAACTTATTTAATAAATGTTTTATTGGATCCAAACAAAGTTCGGTCTCCGGTTCTTGTTATATATTTAAAGAGCTCAATGATCAGGAACAACTGGGTGCAGTGGTTCAGTTTCGAGCCATTAAAGTCTATGGTATTTTCTCAGGATCGAACCGGCAACCTTTTGGTTGTTAGGCGAACACTATAACCACTCGGCCACCCAGCCATTCGTGGGATTTTAAAATAATTAAACATTACGACCTTAAAACAGTCCATTTTTATTAACCTCAGCACGAAACGTCTCAAGTTTTACATTGCAACGGATTGTCCTAACAGTAACACCGAAAACGAAAACTTGTATTTGTTAAAACTGATCAAGTGACCAATCCGTTTTTTTAAACTAAATAAATGAATTTTATTATGCAGTATAACCTTTAGTGGACAGTTGGTACATTGCTTACTAAGAGGTGTGTGCCTGATTACTGTTTAGTGTTTTGGTCACTGCTATTCAGTTTCCTCCAGCTTTAGTAAGTAGTAACTATCATTTTGTGATATGAAACTGATTTTGAACTTCCTGTATGCGTTTGTGTAATATTTGCGTTTGTTAGTCACATACTGTCTTCTGAATGATATACTCTTTCGGTGAGTGGATTTCCACATACACTTATTTAAGTAATAATTTATTTGTAGTTCTAGCTAGTTATTAAAAATACTTTTTGCCATCGTTGATAGACAGTTAGCTGCGTTTGGATGGTCGATACCATGCCAATTCATCTCTATCGATTCAGCAGAGAAGTAGGCTAATATCTGGAGGACAACCTTCTGGTGTTGTTATACAGAAAAATATAGATGAGATGATTGCTTCACAAAAATAAAAATTTTATGGAAACCGGTTATCTAAAACCGGTTATTTATTTGAGGATCGGAAGATTGTTTTATTGATTTGTTTCCATCAGAAAAGTAATAAAATTACAATTTTCTATTTGTTTCCTTTGTATTTTACTAATGCTTTTAGTTTTACTCTACCACACAACTGGTTGTAACAAATCAAATAGAATAAGCTATAAAACTTATGTGTGCGTTTGATAACTTTAAGGTTATGTATTGATGATACACAACATTTAAAATTATAATGCAGTTTAGCTTGTAGTAAATTGCAATAATGTACTAGATATTCTTAACAAATTTAAATGTCTTATTTATATACTGAAGATTCAAACAGCGTTATACAACGTGAGAATAGCAGATGGTTAAATAATTTTATTTAGCATCAAGATTTCTTTCACGTTTCCAGACTATAATGTAATAAGAATGACATGGAAAACTTGAAAGACAATGGGATGAAGAAACAACGTCTTGGTACAGTAGGTTGTACTTAACCCTGAAATAACTTGTGTTTCAAACTGCATCGCAACCCATTCAATCTTATAAATATTTTTTACAAAAGTACCAATTATTTTTTATACGATTGTATTGATAATGATAGACAGTAAAATGTGATATTTATCTACTGAATCACAAGCCTTTATTTAATACGTAATAAGTAATAATAGCTAATCTGATACGTATAGTCAAATGTTAATGGCGGTATATTTATTTCTCAAACTATGACGTACCTTCTCTTGCACTATAGTGTTTGAATTTCACTACTCACTACGTTTCGCCAGATATGTCATTTTCTAGTGGTTAACAGAAACTTTATATCCAAATTGGACTCGTCAAGATGTAAAATTTAAATTTAAAATATATATACATTCATTTGTGGCACGCAAAATAAATTAACGAATAGTACATTAAACATAGGCCTACCACGGCACTGACGGAGACAGACGCGTCTTAAATGGAATTTAAGTATTTATTTATTTTTGTTATTCACGATAAGCAATCGGTTGTGTCACGAGTTTTTACAAAACATTATTTAACATGACCTGTAGCCTAATTGATAACATACAAAAATTAGTAAACAGATTCTTCGTTATATCATGGAAACGCAACTATCTTTATAACCAAACAAATGTCTAGACTAGAGGAAAATTATCAAATGCCTTGCATAATTCCTCATCGGTTGGATGGAATAGGTTTTCATTACGTTATTACCTCAGTTTTTTTTTTCATCAAAAGAAGTTTTGACGGATTATTTTTTTCATTTTTGAATTCAGTAAAAGTTATTTAAAAGCTGAAATTATTCAAACAATCTTATTAACTAAAAAACGTTTAGTGGGTAAAGTTTTACATAATGATTTGTTACATAGTTGCAGATATATGAGTTGTACGAGTGGCAGCCTGTTTTGTGAGAGTAGCCATAGCCATGTCAACCAACAACAGTTCTACCAACCTAGTCACGGTGGTTGTTGTTCAACAGACCAACGGAACAACACGCAACAAATACAACCCCTACAACAACAGGAATGTAGCCCATCCCACCACGTGAGTTTACTAAAACTTCCATAACTGGCCAATAGAGGTCAATACAAATTATGTGTTGATATTTTTACGGTTAGTGATAAATATCCCTATGGTCCTACTACCATTAGGATAAACTATAATACAGTAAACACTCAATAATCCGGATCCCGTTAAATGGACTTCATTCCTGACAGCCAGGTAGCAACATCATGCACTAGTTAAAAATTGTTATTGGCATGTGGCCTACTACAGTTAAGAATGTGCCACTGTTAAGTGTTAGCTATGCTAATGCACATATTATTTAGCACATACAAGCAACTATACTAATTGGGTTTTTATATTAAAAATGTGTTTTACATATTTTTTCCTGTAAAATGTGATTACAAATTCAAAAATCTCATTAGTTATGTAAAATTTTATTATGAATCAATGTTAGTAGGCCAAATAAATTAAAATTACTCCACAAATTTCAAGATATAATGAATTCCTATCTTTTACTAATTATTTAGTAGGTAATTGTGGGTAAATATCTTTAATTTGTTTTAAACTTAATGACAGTGATGGTAAAATATAAACCCATACATAATAATTATATGTTATAACGATAAATAGGTTAAAAATGTATACTGAAGTGATATTCATCAACTCAAAATCAGATCAACAATAAAACAATGGACTTCACATATAATAAATCTTGATTTGAGGTAGAATCATCATAGACTAACCAACTCAAGGGAATTATTGTTTAATCCATCAATCCATGGTAGTACACAATAGGAAAATGATTTGAACGTTACTGGGAATTGATTTATTGAATATTTAAACAAGAAATAAATAGACATTAAATTAACTTAGTTGAACAGAATTACTCTACCTATCTATGTAATGTATAGTTTGAAGTCATTTTTTTTAGAATTTTCAAACAAGTAAACCAGTACCAATGAATAAACAAATTTTATTTCTATTTTTTCCAAGCTAGTAGATTTATGCGAGAACTGAGAAGAGGAAATGAAAGGGATTATCATCATGACTATAGACTATAGACTATGGAAGGGAGAACCATTTCTTGGAGGGTTTTAGCTCTGGGCCCTTGGAAGCGATTAAAAAAGATTTTTTTTGTTTCAGAGATGCTGAAACCCTGATCCATCTGCTGAAAGGCAGTTTAGGGACAGGGATCCTAGCAATGCCTCAGGCCTTTGCCAACGCTGGTCTCTTGTTCGGACTGATAGCTACGTTTTCCGTTGGCCTCATATCTACATACTGCGTAAACATTCTGGTAAGTTTATTGGTCATTTGATTTATGCGACAGAACCTTTACAATTTTGTTAATCATTCGATAGTTTCCTTGTCAGGTTGAAAGGCTTGGGGGTGTGTTGCTAGTCTAGTGATTAGCATCTCAGAATTGTGTGTGAGAGGGAAGGTTTCAATACACGTGATACAAACAAAAGTGTACCACAATCCAAAGCCCCCTGGTTTTTTTGAACAAATATAGAACGGAAATGAAAAGAAAATATGTCTTCCACAATAAGACGGTAACTATCCGAGAGTGTTGTAAATATTTGTTTACGGCACTTGTCTAAAGCTTGATTACCGTACAACAAAGTTTAGAGTTAGTAAGTTTATAATGAAATTAGCCACATTTACACCAGAGTTTAAACCAAAATTTGAAATTTCACTCTTAAATTGTGGCTTAACATTGTTAAATTTCATTTCAAAGCCACACACTGTCATACAACCACCTTCTCGATATGTATCTAGTTACAACCATCTAGTCAAACCTCACACATTTTTTAACAACAAATTTATCTTCTTCTTTGATTTATCTAATTAAACAAAGCTGGAAATACCTATTCAGTCATAAATCCTATAATCTCTCTGACTTAGCTAATGATCAATCTCTGTCACACTAATCTGCACGTTTTGTTATATGATTGTCAATGGTGCACCTGTATCAGGTTATCTGTCAAGAGCTGTTCAGCAACTGCGAAGATGGTGTGTGCTTGATAACATTCCCATCAATCACTTTTGACCTCCGAGTAGATAAAAAGCATTACTATAGATTTCAAACAGTTTTTACGAAGTTCAAATTTGTCAAATTCGTTTGTTTACATAACTTTATTACCTGACGGGTCAGATTTAAAATCTTTTAGTGTATCCAACGAAATAAACAATTTACAATTTTGATGTTCAGCCAAAAAATGTGTTAAGGTTTTAAGTAACATTGTGCATATAGGTACATTGATAACAAAACTGTATTTATTATTTGGTTAAGCTGGGTTTTCCTAGGTGTAAAAGTGAAGATTGGATTGGGGAAAAGCGGGTTTCCACTTGTTAAGTGGTGGTCTTCTTCACTTCTAGAAAAACAGCACAATTAAAATAGGCTACCTAGGAGAAGAACAGACTTTACTCTCCTCTTCTGCCCCTTGGAAAACTCAGCTAGACTTTTTTTGGCATGAGCTTTTGATGCAAAGCCAGTTGATTGCTATGGAACCGATTCCAGTTTTCAAGAAAGGAGGGGGGTCCCGGGTAAAAAGATTTTATATTTTTAAAGCCCTTGGTAAATTTCTAAAGCCATTATGAACGTGTACTGTGTAGTACCGTTTCGAAAACCTCCGTTACGTTTTGGTCCAAGGGGGTTTAGCCCCTGTAAATACCCCCCTCCTGGAACTGTCACTGACAGATTCCTGAGGCTCTATGGATACAGAATTGGCTTTTTATAAATTCTGAGAACACATTTAAATAGTTACAATGATTGCATTCAATTTATTTAAATATTTAAATACATTTTCTTTAAAATGTTACACAGGTGAATGACAAAAATGACATTTATTGTGATGTAAAACTCTGAATAATGTAACAGGTTTAGAGTAGTTTTTTTTTTTTTTTATCATGAGCTAACATATCTGTGACTATGCTCACACCCTATTACAAAGAACGGATAAAGCACATAAATTTTTAAATAAATACCTTTACAGGTTCAGTGTGCCCACCAGTTGTGTCAAAGGAGAAAACTTCCATCTTTGGGGTTTGCAGATGTAGCTGAAGTAGCATTTCTCGAAGGTCCTCAGAAAGTTCAAAAATTTGCATCAACAGCAAGGTAGGTGGAATCAGTGTTAAGCTCGCTGGGTAGCTGGGTGGTTATAGTGGTCGCCTGACAATAAAAATGTTGCCATATCAATCCTAAGAGAATTCAGTAGCTTCACGATGGTTTGAAACTGAACCTAGGTGTCCCTGATCATTGGACTGTAAATAATTGATACTGGTTAAATGAAACAGCTGGTCTTGGTCAGTAGAAGGCTGCACAGATCCCCTCTCTCCATTCTACACTCATCCTTCACTCATATTTGGGTTGAAATATGACATATTGCTGGTGCTAGATGTCGTCTCCATCTCAAATTGACAATTCCAATAATGATAACTTTAATAAAGAGACAGAGCAAGTACAAGAGGTTTCCCCCAAACATGGGAGAGTAATTTTTTGTGCCCCCTAAATACTTTACCCACTCCTTCCTCAAATACATAAATTTAATTAGATACAGTCAAAATATTAACAAAAATTATAAAAGTTAAAATAAATTGTATTTTTAGTATCCTTTAATCAATCCTTCTATCTATGCTACTGTACATGCAAGCTTTGATACAAAGTAATAACCCGAAAAACAAAAATCATTTATTTTAAACAAAACTTTGAAGCAAAAATTCCAGCAAAAACTCTTGGGTATTCAGCCAAATGGGAGAACCATGAAAATTGTACTTCCAATTTTGATGACTGGGAAAAAGTATGTGAATAGTAAATTCATTTTGTATCTGGGAAATTTTAACTTTTTAATGATGACCAATAAAATCTACCACAAATTTTTTCTCTCTCATGTAGTCATCTTATGTAAATCGCGTACGAGGAAGATGGCTGTAATGTTTCCGTTATTGTGAGAAATGATCACGATGTTGCCATAGTTGCGGGAGATAACCGTAATGTCGCCACAATCGAGGGGCATAACTGTGACGTTATTGTGATTGCGGGGGTTCGGGGGATGACCAAGATGATGCTGATGTTACCGTGAAGTATGTGGTCGTAGAGGATCTAACACAGAATGTTCGGTGCTATCTAGAGGAAAGAAATTCGCTACTTTTCCGTTTGAACAATGACAAACTTCCATCCAGTAGCTACAAATAATCTGCATCTGCTATGTTTATTTTTGTTTAGCAGTAGATTATCAGTTGATGATATAGCCAATTGGAGTAATAGGAGATGGTCACCACGCAAATATTTCAGGGCAGCATATTTGGAAGGATGGGGGTGTGGGTTGTATAATCTAAAAGAAATGAGGCGTTTTTTTTTTTATTTCCTAAGATGGTATTTGCTGGTTAGAGAGGCAAATCTGTCATTTGGGGCGTCAATTCGGAAAGTATGACGCCTCTATACCAGTGTTATTTTGGTTTGGTGATGTTATTCACTGTATTGTAATATTAAGCAAAATACTTTTTGACACATTTTTTTTCTTTTTTTTCTTTTTAACGAATTTCCCTATAGGGAAGTATTTAGCGAATTTCCCTATAGGGAAGTATTTAGCGAATTTCCCTATAGGGAAGTAGCTATTACCGTAGGTGGCACGGTAAGACCTAGACCCAGGACCGATTTACTTTTTCATTTTGATGTCCCCAGAGGCCAAAAACACTATTCGTTCAACTTTTTATATATGTGTATATATATATATATATATATATATAGACTTATATATATACATATATATTTATATATATGTCCGTGAACGTGATACCTTGAGTAATTTTTGTCCGATTTTGATGAAATTTGGTTTAAAGGTGTAAAGCGGGATAAACTTGAATGAGTTCGCGAACCAGCACGATCGGACCATGGGAACGGGGCTTTACGGGGTTTTATGGGGTAAAAATTGGTTTTTCTCACTTTTGACCCTCAAAACACAAAATTTCCCAATTTCTCTTTAGACCTTTTTAAAGAGCTTAAAAAAACAAATAATTTAGTATATAAAAGTATTTTTGTTCGAATATTAGTAACGGAGAAAATTTAAAAAATTGTAAATTTAAAATTCCCATGTTATTCTTATGGAGAATATTGTCAAATGTTGTAGTTTGCTTGTTTATGAATATATTTTGATAAAACTTGGCAAATTATTTAATCAATATTTTAATCCAAAACACACTTTATTAGTTTCCTTGTAGCAGCAAACCTAGGTACTCGTTAAACCTAATGTTATTAAAATATATTTAACTGAAAATCAATTCAGACGAATGGAAATTCGCTTAGTCGGCAGGTTTGCTGCGGCGGGGGTATTTTTTTTCTTTGAACCAGAAATGTTTGAATACGCTCTAAATACTTAAAATATTTTCAGGATTTCTGTAATTATTTTTTTTTGTCAAAGATGGTCCTTATACATTTTAGTTCCTTGTCAAAAATATACTTATACAGTAGTTACTCTAAGATAGTTACAGTATTACCATCTTTATTGTATGACTCAGGTTTAGAACCACCATACTTTTTAGTTTCTGGATTCCCAGAAGCCATAAAGTAAATTTAAAACGCATCCACTATAAAATAAATTATTCTTGCCTTAATTTCTTTCAGGTTTATGGTGAATACTTTTTTGGTGTTGGATCTGCTAGGCTGCTGCTGTGTGTATATTGTGTTTGTTACGTCTAATCTAAAACAGGTAACTATAAAAAATAAGCAATACAAACATTTAAGAAGTTTCAAGTGTTGGGTCCAAGTATATGAATACTTAATATTTTGTGAAACCTTTCCGGGTAACTTAGAGTTTATAGTGCTTGTCTATAATTCAGAAGAAAGTCATTAAGTCGGCATGAGTTAATAATTTTGCATTGTTGATGACCATCAGATGCCAGGCTTAACAGTGGACAGTGGTTACCCTAGCGCCAATCAGCAAAAACATGCGTCAACTTTGAAGCATATTAATTATGCACTGTAAGCTTAATTAACGAGGGGAAAAGTTTTATGTGATTCTTAAATATATTTTTGTGTGAATTACTTTTTGGATTTTTAAAACTTTTGTTTCAGTGGTTGAAAAAATCATAGTTTAAGTCAATATATTTATGTAGTTTGACAAAATAATACCAATTGAAATTTGAAAGTAGATGGAAAAACACATCCGCTGTTTCAATAGCTTTAAATGACATATTATGAAATTTTTTATCTTAATAAACAATGCCGTAATATGCTTCAACCATTATTACTGTTATGGGCAGAAAATCCAAGATAGCTGGAGCTTAGGTCCTACCGTCTTTTAACTTACTGGTGAAAACCAGTTGCTTTTTTATGATTTGAAACTGAACCCAATAGTCATAACATTAGGATCTAGCTGTTTTTAGAAAGTAACATCTACACATGACTTCACCCTCCATTCTACCGTTGACTATGGAGAGAAATAGTCAACCCATGTCCATGTTAAAAATGTACAGGATTTCAGGTTTAGATTGAAAATAATTTAGCCACCCACAGAGTGAGCTTGTGTCAATTGATTATGTTGTGCTCACCAACCTTTGACCAAGCCAAACTGTAAAGAAAACTGGTGGTTTTCCAAACTAAAGCATCTCTATGTCAGACCAGAACTGTCAGTACTATGCAAGTATGTTTTATTGAAATAAAAAGATGGACCATATAAATGGAATTTCTACTTCAGTATCCAACAAAGTCAATGATTCTATAATCATAATCCATTTATTCAGGTTAAAATATGCGCATCCGCATGCACAAACTCTATTAATGTTGATTAATGATACACATTTCTTCACTTCAGGTGTTCGACTTGTACATCGACAGTGGCATAGATGTGAGGATTTACATGTTATGCTGTCTTCCGCCTCTGATCGCTATTAACATGATCAGGAACCTCAAGTATCTCGCACCCCTCTCTATGGTAGCCAACGTGTGTATAGCCATGGGCATCGCCATCACCATCTACTACCTCTTCCAGGATCTGCCTCCCTTTGACAGCCGCCCTGCTTTCGCACCAGTGACCAAATGGCCTCTCTTTTTTGGAACAGCGATTTTCGCCCTTGAAGGAATTGGAGTGGTAAATAAAACAAGCTTGATTACTCACAGTTGTTGTGCTGATTCATGCTCATAGGATTTTGTCGATGGATAAACAGCTGGAGTAATGAATTTAAATTCATTGAATTTTATAGGTTCCACCCAACGTATTTCTATGTTCAATGTTAACTCTACAAAACTCTTATAGTACCAACTTTCATCACATTTTTTTGTCTCAGTAGGTAGTCACAAAGGATTAATAAGATACTTTAGTTGTTTTTTTGAAATATTTGAAGTCCCAAAATAGTTCACAATTTATATGATTAGAAATTTAAATACCGGTAGCTCTAACCCATTAATGAATGAGAAATACTTATTTAATTTGGAGAGAATTCTCATTACACCAGTGCCGGTTGTCCTTGGCCTACTATTTTGTTTTATTTTATAGATGGACCTATAAACTATGTCTTGAAGCCCGTACATCCCAAAGACGAGTGTAATACCACAAAATACAATAATAAAATTAATTGTTTTTATCTGTAGGTGATGCCTTTGGAAAACAACATGAAGACACCAGAGAACTTCCTTGGATGTCCGGGAGTTTTGAACATTGGGATGTTCGTCACTGTGATGCTGTATTCCATACTGGGCTTCCTGGGCTACCTTCGCTTCGGAGCAGCAACTAAGGGCAGCATCACACTCAACTTGCCTGACGAATTGTGAGTATCTTAACTCAACATTTACACTTTCACTTGGTTGTATATTATCATTGAATTTTGGATACTGAAGTATACAACTCATCAATGGACCAGTTGTAACAAATTAAAAAAAGAATATAACTATGATAACAACTAGATGAGCTACTTCACAGAGTGTGCTTAGGTTTAAGCTTTTTATTTCCTCCCTTAATTATTACTATGCCATAGAAGATGCTATGGTTTACGAGGTTAGTCAAAAAATTGGTGTATTTGAAAGAAATCAGTTATTTTACATAGCTCACTCTGTTCCACGCTTGTGGGCTTTCAATTTCATCATGCCTTTCAACTTTCAATTCGACATGTAACAACGCGTGCGTGATTGCATGCACTTTGAGGTACAGTAGAACCCCTCATATCCAACCATGACGGGAACGGGCCATGGTTGGAACAGCTAAAAGGACGGATATCAGGATGTGCATATCCTGCAGTCTCCGCAACATCGGTAATCGTCTCTTGCGACCGCGGCAACATCCGTGAGCGTAACTTGCAGTCTCCACGACTTTGGTAATTGTCTCATGCAAACGCGGCAACACCCGTGAGTGTAACTTGCAGTCTCCACAACTTCGGTAATCGTCTCTCGCAACTGCGGCAACACCCGTGAGCGTAACTTGCAGTCTCTGCTACTTTGGTAATCGTCTGCCGTGATCTACCTTTTGGAAACACGGTCCCGGTCGGACACTAGGTTGGATATCCTGAGGAGTAGGTTATTCTGAGGTTTGGATATGAGGGGTTCTACTGTATGCCTATCAGCTGTCCACACTCACGCCTCACTTTTTTTCATGCCTTTTCCTTCTCAGTCATGCTGTATTTTAATGCTAAATCTAAACATGCTTCATTTACTAATGTTTGGTGTAAAATTTACTCAGTACCTATGTCCCACAAACACCCAAGAGAGTGATAAATCAATTAATTCATCTTCTATGAATTGTTTCTTCGTTATTCATGTTGCTTCAAACTACTACAATGCGAACTTGAAGTTAAAACATAGAAATCCGAGGCTGTTAGATCGTCTTGCGCTACCCTGTACGCTATGGAATGGAGCTTCTTCCGAATCAATTCGGACATGCGTTATTTGCATCAAGGTATTCATGAATACCTTGATTCACCTTGAGTACCTTGATAGCTTGGCACACACAAAGTACACTAGTGCGGACATACCTAATGTGTTGTTTAGCTGGTTCAGATAAAACTGACTTGTATAATAACTAAATAGCTGTGTCAATTATATCACTCAATCAATTATTTAAAACAGCAACAAAACCTTGTGTTGTATGCAAATGCATATTTTGTACTGAAATATGAGGGTGGGTATAGAATTAATATAATTGAGAACATATTAAAGCTTTGTTTTTGACCAAGATCTATGGACAACAGATCTGTGTGGACTCCAAAACTTATAAAACCACTTTACTACACTTTATAACGCCTTGTTCCTTTCTCAAGTTTTAAAATAGTTCTGTATTTATCTGGTGTGTATGCATTCAAAGTCTCAGCTAGTAATTAGTATTTGTTAATGATTGAGGATTTCTCATCTTCCAAAACTGTAGTATTTCTTTATTTTCCTTCTTCGAAAAGATTTGAGCTGCCCCACAAATGGTTATAAATCTTGTAAATCCCCCATCCAATGCCATCTAAGATTATAAGTTAACCCAATTAATACTCAGTATAAAAAATCCTTTGAAAAATCTCAATCTTTCATCTAAAACTAGAATAGTCTGCGAACTCAGAAGGCCTATGGGAATGTAGCAACTAATTTATTTATTGTTTACAGATTAGCGCAGTCAGTTAAAGTCATGATTGCAATCGCCATATTCTTCACTTACGCGTTGCAGTTTTACGTTCCTTTGGAAATCATTTGGAAAGCCAGCAAACATAGGTTCAGCAGCCATCCTGCACTGGCAGAATACACCATCAGGATAGTGTTGGTGTGTGGCTCAGGTAAATAAACACTTCTGTAACTAACAAGTTAACAGTTTCTAGTTACTGCTACTAGTTAAATACCTCAAACATTTTTAGTAATTTACAAACACAAATTTCAGGTTCCATGTTGCGTACAATTTTGTATTTCTTAAGACGAAAAATCTTGACATTGTGTTGTTCATAGAATTATATAACAATTTGTATCACATTGCGGGCAATAAGTTAAGAAATCATATATTTGAATTTATGTAATTATCATGCAGTATGTGTTGAACAGTATGTTTGCCATCGTTGGTAAAGGTTTAAAAGGAAACAAGCTTGATTGAGTAATTTAACTTAATTTGTTGATTTAATTATTGTGTGAACAAATCAGGTTAAGCCTAAAAAAATTATGTGTGTTACATTTTTATTTCCTTTCTAAAATTAAAAATTCAAATAAAATAAAATCAATCAAATCTCTATTTAGTATATTTTTTAACCGACTTCCCCACTACCAACAAAAGGAGGAGGTTCTCAATTTGTTTGTGGCGATGTTTTTTTTTTTCTATGTATGTTCACCAATTTCTCTGTGATTCTTTTACCGATCAGTGTGGTTCCAACACCAAAATAACCAGGAGAGTTTCTATTTGGTACCTTATATATTATGTTTGAGTATAATATTTGTTTCGGTGAAAAATTCTGAAAACCTTAAATATTCATCATTTATTTTGTTTACATTTGTGCAGATTGTTTACATTTGTGCAGAGAAGGCAATAAATAATAATAACATTCCTACAGCTGTTAGTTGAAACCATTTAAATGAAGCTACAGACAATTCTTCATGAAACAGTTGCTTCATATTGATCAATAAACTATTTCTTGCCATGGAACCTGAATTACATTGAGAAAAATGCATTTTGTTTTGGTTACTATAAAAAATTTATTTTAACGTTTGACCTGATTTGTGTATACAGTAATTCTGTTTTTAGTATTGAATATTCTGACTTACAAAAACATATATGTTTCAGTGAATAGCTGTATAATATTGACAAGTAATTAAGGTGTATTGTGAAAACCAAAGCATTCGTAAAACAGGTCTAAATATAAACTAGGGTTGCTTTCAGAGAGGTGAAAGCCAGTTGAGCGGAACAAACGTGATTTGATATTTGTATAAGTAACGAAATGCAAAAAGGTCAATAGATTTATTTACTAATGCTGGTTTTAAAGATTAAAATTATAATAATTCAAATTTACCTCTTCGAGAAGTGTAAGGTAGTTTTGACCAGGAAAATATTACAGTAGTTGGAATCTGATATTAACATCCAAAAAGGGCATTAAAGTATAAAAAAGAGAAAGGAAATTTTATCAACATTTGAAATGACTGAATTGTTACCAAATAACTGTTTCACAAAATGCAGATTCCATTTTCAGCCGAGCCATTAAAATGAGGATTTGCCGAACAATTATTAATATTACAGAATAGTATATAATGATATACAACTTTTCACATTCCATAAATTATATGTTAGTTTTGCTATGGTCAAAGATCCAAAACCAAATGTTCTCTTTTCTATTGGTCAGTATGTAATAATTTGCTAGAATCATTGACTTTATATAAAGTCAAAGCTAGAATACTGTAGATGGTTTGTTAAGTTAAGACCATATGCAAGCATTTTTGAAATCGTTTCCCCGTTTAACCTTAACCAACTATTCCATTCCAAAAGATAAAAACTATATGGTGCAACACAAATAAACAACCCGATCACCTACCTATAACCTACACTTTACCTTCCTAATCTAACCTTACTTCAAAACACTTAATGTAGTCACAAATGCTCATAAACCCCGACCTACCTCCCCACCTGCCTAAATTAGATCAGTGTTCAATCTGCGTTTTATCAATAAGTGTAATAACTTACTGTACCGTTGAAGTAATTCAACTTAATATAACCTATGAGGTATTATCGGATTAAATACAGATTTCGATGCGGTTCGATATATCGCTTATTAAATCCTGATTTCTAACATTGGCTGTTTCTAATCAGCTGGCAACACAAATAGCTATATAACCTAGGAACCTAGGTTCCCAAGAAAGTAGTCACCGGTCCGTATCCCTCCGCTCCTTGTTTATGCTCCGCGCATTGAGAAAGTAGTTCCGTATAATTTCTCGATTTTCAGTGAATTCCGCGCCTTAAAAAATGTTTTAACGGCATTTTCTTGTTTATTAAAATTATAGGAATGGTTTAAAAAACGTTTAAAAGAAAAGTATAGAAAGTTCAGAAATACCTTATGATTCTCTTGTTTACATTTTTCTTGTAAACAAAAAAACTGTCATAGCTACTTTAGTCCCATAAGCCTAATGTTAAAAATTTGAAATTTTAAGTTCGTTTTAAATTGCATTAGCATTATCTAATTGAAATTTGTTTGTTTACAAACCATCTCATTATTAGTCTAAGTAGTCTTGTTAAGTTTGGCTGAAATGTGTTCAGCCGTTATTGAGTGATGGTGTTATATTGTTTGCATTGAAGTTGATCCCAAAGAGCTTCGCTCGCTTCGCTCGCTCCGCTCAATCAAATGTAATTATTCCTTACATGACCTAAGAAGTGTGACAGTGCATAATCGTCAATTGTCTCAAAAGTGTTAAATATTTTAATTACTAAACATGCATTTGCAGATGTGGAATGTTTATTGATATTCTCTACCCAGTTACTATATCATATCAATACTATTATGCCTGCTTCGGAAAGTCATAGAGGAAGATGATTTGCAATTTCGACTAGGCTATATCTTGATCAAACAAAACCACCTACATGGCTTTCACCACTTTTAGCTGAACCAATCTTTCATATACATATTTCATTTGCAGATGTGGAATGTTTATTAATATTCTCTACCCAGTTACTATAACATATCAATACTATTATGCCTGCTTCGGAAAGTCCTAGAGGAAGATGATTTGCAATTTCGACTAGGCTATATCTTGAGCTAACAAAACCCCCTACATGACTTACACCACTTTTAGCTGAACCAATCTTTCATATAATATTTTCCAAAGGTACTATACGAAAGGTAGTATGGTGTTAACGACCAATTTTCCACTTTTGAGAGATTTTTTAGTGCTGGTAGCTGAGGAATAACTTTCATATTGTTCCAAAAGGCTTGAGACGTTACTGTATTTCTTTTTATAATGTAGAAGTACACCGATTGCAGGAAACGATGATGTCTGACATTTCAATGTATCTAGAAAAGACAATTAGTTTTTCATTAGGCCTAATGTAATGGACAACTCTTTCTTTCTTAAGGAATATTTAAAGATGTTTATTTCTATACCCATTGATTATGTAACCTGAACAGGTGACTCAAGCAGTTTTAAAATAATGATTGTTCTGTGGAACTTTTGATTGTTTCAAACAGTTTTGCTTATAAAAAATCCTCAAGTAATTAATGTATAAAAAATTATACAGTCACTAAAAATCGTGAAATAATTTATTTTTGTAAAAAAATACAACCGACTTCAAACGCTCTAAAAAGAATGAAATAATTTCAATAAAGTAAACTTTTGTATTAGGCAAGCTTGCGTATTTCAAGTCGGCGCGGCTCAAACTGCAAATATGATTGAAATTTAATATTGTGTGTGTATTTTGAAAATCAATAAATTGTAGCTGGATATCCTAAATATATAAAAAATATACTGAACTGTTTTGTTTATATATTAAAGGAAATATTTTCTTGTATTTTATGTTTACTTCAAAATAAATGCATTATGAAAATAACACACACAAATGTTCTATATGAATAGGAAAATAATTTAGTTTGATATTATGATAGGGAAAAGGAGCTAGTTTAGTATTAAAACGTTACTTTTCCAAGTTAGAATCATTTAAATGCATTATAATCTTTTTAAAGATACTCGTTAATACCACTATAATGCCGATCTCTGATTACGGCAATAAAATAACACTTAACGCATAACTATGAAAAAGACATGCAGATTAACACCTTTAGTTATAGATAGTCACCTGCAATATGGACACCCTCTTTCAATTTTTTTATTCAAAAAGATCATCATTGAGCCCGCGCCGACTTAAATTACGTGAGCTTGCCTAATACAAAAGTTTACTTTATTGAAATTATTTCATTCTTTTTAGAGCGTTTGAAGTCGGTTGTATTTTTTTACAAAAATAAATTATCTTAAGTATGCCTATCTCTATTTGAAAAAAGATTTCAAGCAAAAATTCAGTTAAGACATACA